ATCAGCTGATACACATAGAATATTGAGCTCAGGGCCAGGCACAGAGTAGCTACTCAGTAAATGGTGTTCATCCTGATTAGTCTAGCCAGCTGTCACTCACCCTGCTACCACCCCGGCCCCACCCTCCAAACCCTTTGAGGCTGGATATGAGCCCGCCCATCCCACAGCCCTTCCCAAGAGCATCAGCTCCTGTGGAGAGCCCACAGGGTGTGAGCCTGCTATGGGACAGGATGGGAAGGCTGAAGACTTTGACAAAGCTGGGAGGGTGAAGGGAGGAGAAGGCTGAAAAGATTGTCACCATTTTCTACAGTCTTGATTGAAGGACAGGGGAAGCTTTGCCCCAGCTGGAGGCCCAAAGGTACAAGTTAGACTTGGCCTGATCTTTGGAAAGAAGTTCCTGAGGGTTCCTAACTCCAAATTTCCACCCTCTTCCGGCCTATTTCTCACTGTGAATAGGGGCTCGCCACCTACCCTCTCCCTACCACCATCGCTAAGTCGGGTAAAGATGCAGCCTGGGGTAGAGCGTGACTGAGTAACAAGGCAGAGGGACAGGAGTTTGCCCATTCATGTGTCCTGTTTATCTTCAGGCAGGCAAGCAAGAGTTAATCCTACTTCTATCATTTGAATCCTAAAATGAGGGCTGCAGAGGGCCATTGTCAGTAAATTTAGACAGCATCTAAAAGTATGCCCTGACATATGAATCTTCTCGACAACACCCCCAAGCTATGCTTGAATACCTTCCGGGATGGGGAGCTCATTACCTCAGAGAAACTCAACCCTCTGCACAGCTCTGACTTCCATTGGATCAATATCTGCCTCTGTCCGCCAGCCCTAATGTTTCGCCCTGGGGCAGAATGGGTCAAGGCGAATCCCTCTCCTTGTGGCCACAGCCCCACTCACTGTATTAGCCATCAGCTGTGACACACACTTCCCCTCCAGGAGGTACACACCCCCTTCTTTTGCCCATTTGCCCACAGGAGGGTCTCAGTCTGTTGAGGCAAACAGTTCTAGTCCTATGCCACCTGTTTACAGGGAATTTGTCGCCGTTGAGAAGCAGAGGCAGCTGCAGTTGGGATAAAAGTGCCTTTGCCAAGGCTGTAAGGGACAGCCCCTCTCATGGACTCCAGAGTAGCCAAGCTGAGCACCCAGTGTCCACTTGGCCCCCTTCCCAGCGCCTCGTGGGCTCTCGAAGTCATTATTGCCAGAGAAAAGGAGAAGCTGCTTTACAAGCTCCCTACTCCCAACTCACCTACTCCCACCACCTCCCTCCCGCAGTCTTTCTCCCTTTTCTAGACAGAGGCCTCCTCAGCCCTGCAGAGGAGTGGGGTCCTAGGCTAATCTGTTTTAGGACCAAATTTATGGGCCATGTCACGATGCCAGGATATAGTTCTAAGATGGGCTTCCTTCCCCATGGCCCTCTGGAGCTCTCAAACACTGGGTGGCCGGAGCCTGTCCTAAAAGGTGGTTGGTACCCTGCACATCAGCATGGTAGCAGGCAGCCAGGAATGACTAGAACCTGGCAGCCTTCAGGGTCAATTTCACCATGGCCATCCGAGAAGAGAGCCCGCAGCGCCCTGCCAGCATGGACCTTCTGAGCCCCTGCAGTGCCGAAGGCGGAGGGCAGGAGACCTCAGTGGGGACCTGTGCTCCTGTGCCCAGCTGCCCAACCCATATCCCACCAGGCACTGCCCCAGCTTCCTCTCCCCTGAAGTTTTTTAGCACAACACCTGCAACATGGGAGGGAGACAAGTGGCCTAAGATGGACCATATACAAACCAGCATGAGGAAAGGCACTCTACTGAGGTGTGGAATGGGACTTGGAATGGCGACTAAAACCAAGCTCTGTCATTAGCCTACTGTGTGACTTTGGGAGAATGACTTTCCCTCTCTGAACCTCAGCTTTCAAAACTGTGCCCTTACAAGAAGCATGGGGGCTTCTTTTTTTTCAACTCAAGCCCACTGGGAAGGGGCAGGCAGGAGCCTGGGCTGGTGTGGGCTGCTGTGCCGAGCTGTGCCGAGCGCTAGGCTCAGACTGGGTGTGGGCTGTGGGAAGAACAGGCGGCCTGGAGCCAGCTGGGAGATCCTGGATTGTCCTTGACTCATCTTGTGGCCTTAAGCAAATCACTTCCCCGACCTGGTCCTCAGTTTCCCTGTCAGGATAATCAGGAGACTTGGCCAAGTAGTCCCCGGGATCCCTCCCCTCTCTGATGTTGTAAAGATCTACTCTTCCCCCTCCCCCGTTCCTTTTGGGCCTCAAAACCTGTCCTGGGGACTCTGAGAGGCTCCGCATACAGACTACTATTCCGGGGCAGCCGGCCATGGGCAGGCCGATGGCTGTGCCTGAGCCCTGCAGGGGCTCCGGCGGGAAGCAAAGGAACGGTGGGAATGGAGAGGCACCAGCACCTCAGGTGGGGGACACGGGAAGCCGGTGAGCAATTCTGAGCTGCGGGGTGGGAGCTAGCCCTTCCCGCACACGGCAGCCCCCTCCTCAATCAGAACTACCTCACCAGGCCCCAAGCAGGCTGAGCCCCAAAACATCAGTTTAGGGGAGACACCTGAGCCAAACCCAGTCCTCCCAGAAGCCAGGCCCAGCTCCACAGTGTCCTCCAAGTGTTCTGGGGGAGAAGCCTTGGACTGAGTTAGATGCTGCGTCCACCCGGAAGGAACCCAGCACCTGAGTCCACATCCCCTGCCTCAGTTTCCTATCTGTTAAGTAGGGAAGCATCCTCTCTGACATCCCATCCTTGGAAGGACTCAGGGGCTCCAAGGGCAGACATCCTTTTAAACCAAGGTACCTTTGGTTCTGTCAAATACCAGCCACCTCTGTTTAACACTGCCACCTTCTATCTGGCTTCTTTCTCGGGTAGCAGCTGCCGGCATTAGGACTACGAATGTTAGGCTACTCTTAGAATAGTCTAAAATGCATCTGACCACTAAACTAGTGGCGAAGGTCTCTGGGTTACCAGGGAGCAGGCAGAAATGACAAAGGAACCATGAGAAAAGTAGAAACCAAGCACTTCAGCATTCCCTTGCATTCAGAAAGCTGAGGACTTTCTTATCGGGTGAGCCTCCTTGGCAAGGGTGTGTGGGTGTGTGTGTAAGAAAGAGAAAAGTGCAAAGAGATACAAAACCAGAAGGCAAGAGAGGAGAAGACTGGGTTGTCTGGGAGAGCAGAGCCCCTGGGCCAGGTGGTTGCCTTTGGTCCTGAATTGAGGACCGATTCAGCAGCACGTAACTAGGATAGAGCAGTTCGCAGATGGGACATGAGCGACCTGATTCTTCCCTGCAGCCACCCTCATCCGTGAAGTTGCATGAGGGCAGACTCTGCACCAGCTGTCAGCTATTCCTCTTGAGCCCAGAGCAGATGAAACAGATGTCTGCCTAGTCAGACACAGCTTAGAAACAGGGGGCAGGAAGGATGGCCCGTCCACCCATGGAAAGAATAGACAACATCGGCATGATGGTTAGCCTTGGGGACATAAAGTGTTGTCATCTTCCAGAAATAACCAAGAGCCCTCCAAGAAGTGGGTGTTTAGACACCCTGTCCCCAGGGTGCTTTCAAGGTGGATGGAGTCCCCCAGGATTCTGTGAAGGCAATGAGGGGAAAAGAGGAAACATCTAACAAGAGGGGAGCAGAATGATCTCATCATTGATGGGGACCCAGCAGTGTCAATGGCATCACCAGGAAAGGAACAACAGGACTCCCTGTGAAAATCCTGGCACCGCCTCAACTTGCCCCACTCTGCACCCCTGAAAAAAGTCACACTCAAGGGATGTTCAGGGGAGACCATCTGTTTATTGCAGCCAATAAATCCAAGCAACGAGACAAACTGCAACAGAAACTGTCTGCTCCCCAAAGCAGACACATCACAGCAGTTGGGTCACAGAGGACCATTTCAGTTTCTCTCTCCACCACCTCTTCCATTACCACATAGCACATAAATCCTAGAAAGTGCATAAGTAGTTGTGTTTTCCCCTCCAAGTGCACAAAGAGCAATAAGAACGTTCCATAATTTGCCTTTGGTGAATCAACTCAAAACACTGAGAAATGATTGTTGCCCCCTCAACGTAACTTCCAGGGTGGATGTAGTGAGATGTTTTATATTTGTATATATAATATATCTCTACCTATATATAGACTATGTACAAACGCATCAGCAAGCTTCAATAAAGGAAGACATCAGCAAGAGGCACAGCAAGAGACACAGGCTTTCTATCCTTAAGACGTATGTAGGAAGAAAAATTTCTCCATTCATCGCCCGTTCCAATTGCACCAAGCCATTCCTATGGCCTGGGACTGTCTTTTGGACCTGGCCAGCATTTTCAATTGTCCATCTGCTTAAACTGACCTTGCAAATACTTACCAGCCCAACCTCACCAAGGAGACTCACAGGGAGAAATACGGATCCAGCTTTTCCTTTTTATAAATTGGGAATAACTGTGATTAGTCCAGAGCCAGGGGGCAGATAGCTATTTCCAAAGCCAGTTCCAAGGCACCTCAAGGCATTTCAGTCCTGAAAAAGTGTGCTTTGTTCCTACAAGCTAAATCCCATGGGTTGGCGAGCCCATCTCTCTTCACGGGGGCCCTTAATTAGGAGAAAGGGACAGATACAGGGTTCCAAGAGAGCAGGAGAGGCAGAGGCAGTTGAGAAAACCAGCAGACTGAACCCAGCAGAGCGCAGTGATGGGAACATGCAGCCAGAAGTAGGGCTTGAGCCCCACGGTGCAGGGTGCTGTGGAAACATCTCACCAGTCTCCCACCTCTACGCACAGAAGCTCCATTTTGTTCCCAGCCTCATTGCCCTGGGGGAGGCAGCTCTATGAGGCCTCTGGAAGAGACTCTAAGAGGCTTGGGGAGAAAGTGCATATGAGGATGGGTACCTGAGACAAAGGTGGTTCCTGGCCCATCCCCATCTGCTTGGGCGCCTGAGGCCCCTGGACAGGCACTGCTCTCCCTAGGACCCTCTAGGGCAGGGCAGAGAAAGGAAGGAACCCAGAAGTCTTGGGCTTCTTAATAGAGAGTTAGGACTTCTTAGAATAAACCTAGGGAATCTTGCAAACAATTTCCCTAAATGTTATGAGTCCTGGAAAAAGAAAAGTTCCCAGCATCCACACAGATCCTCACTCATCCCGGAAGAGGAGAGCACTTAAGAAGTTGCCAAAAAGTGAAACCTGCAAGCTGCAGACATGTGATTACAACCACGCTTGGTCTCAGCTGGAACGAGGGTGCCCACTACCCATCTCTCCCCTCTCAGCTGGTTGGCTCCAAGGATGGGCAATGTCCACCTACCCCAGGCATCCTGGGGGCTTAGCCCACCCCCATTGGCAGTGTGTTGATTGGCAGTTAGGTACTGATGAGCTAGAATTTCCAGGTGAGCTGGACTCATCCCACCCAGGAGCTCTCAGGCTGATTGCCCACCCTCCACTCTGTCCGGCCTCTCACCCTCTTCCTTATTGCATCTTCCCTCTTTCCTTCCTTTCCCCCCTTCCCAGGGCCCAGATTCTGGAATCTCTTCCTTTTTCTCCTACTCCAGCCCTGGAAGCAGTGGCTGCAGAGGTGGAATTAGATGCACCAAAAGAAAATTAATCTTGGTCCCCACAGTGCTGACCTAGCAGTTCCCAGCTCTGTTATGGCTTTGTGTACATCTCCAGTACCTGGCCCAGTGCCTGGCACACAGGAGATCTCAATAAATGGGTGTTGAATTGAAGTGAATTAAACTGAATCGCCCATATGCTATTACTCTCTCCCCAAAAAGGCCATCTGCTGGGCAGAGGCAGAGAGGGGTCCCGGAAGCTGTCAGAGTCCCATCTCTACCCCCTTTCCCCAGACTCCTGCCCTGGGCTCTGACCCCCTGAGCCCAGGCAGGGCCTGAGCTCTGAGAAAGGCTGGGAAGTGCTGCAGAGGGTCAGCCTGGGGTGGGCGTGGGGCATTCCAGCAGCTCTACCCTCCCACTCCCATCACCCCATCCCTGCCTCAGTCACAGCCTGGAGGGGCTGGGCTCCAGGGAGGTGAGCAGGGCTGGAGGAGCTCACCTCCCTCCCCTCATCTCCTTCATCTCTCTGTCTGCAGAGGCCCCTCCCACTGGGCAAAGCGTGGCTCTATTCATCCAACCTGGAGACTGAGGAACCAGAGGAGAAGCAGGCCCCTCGGTTGTGAGTTTGAACCTCAGTCTCCCAGTCTGTAGTATGGGTGACTTGGCTAGCTGATCTCTGAGGATCTTCCAAGGCAGTTTCTCTCTGTCTCTCTCCCGCTCCTGAGGCTTGAGCAATTCCCTCTTCATGTGAGTAAAATGGCAGTGAAAGTTGGCTCCCCACAAATGCTGCTTTCCTCCCCCGCAGAGAGAACTGTCGGGGCAGGGGAGGGTGTGACATGGCTCCAGATGTGACATGGCCACAGGGTCTCAGAGGCTACAGGGCTCCCCTCAGGCTTCCCTCAGGGCCAAAAGCCAGATGAAACCCTGCTGAGGGTAACGGGGAAAGTCTGAACAGAAGCCCCAGCGAGGCCCCTGCTCTGCACACCTACTCCTCTGACGTGGCTCCCACCCCCTCTCTCCTTGTCTCCGCACCTCAGCTGCTCCTGGCCCAGGTGATGGTGGCCACCCTGGGGGAGGAGGCAGTCAACCTTGAACTCCATTTTACAACGGAGCCCGCAGCCCCTGGTCCCTCAGCTAACTTTGCAGTTGCCTCCTGTGAGTGGGTAACTGCGGTGAAAAATGACCAGCACCTGGAGAAACACGACTCTCCGCCCCCCACGGCCTAGCTCAGCAGCCCTTTGGTACTTTTCCTGCCAAAAATCCCAAGGGCTTAAGCAAGCCCACAGAAACCCAGAGGCTTCTGTGGTAGCAGCTATCGAAGGAGAAAGGTGAGAGCAGAGCTCCCTGGGCCAAGGCTTGTCTCCAGCTGCCTCCAGCTTCCTTCCCTTCAAGGCCCAGGAAACGCACGGTCATCCCTTCAACACACCCCCAAGTTATAGGAACCCATCACCACCCCCGTGACAAGGCTGCCCAGGGCTAGGGGCAGCTCTGGGAGCAGAGGCATGCCACACCCCAGGCCTTCTAGAGGCAGCCAGCAAAGCCCCATCCCAGCTGCAGGTCCCCTCTGAAGCGGCCACCAGACCAGTCCACGCACTGGGCAGACTGGACAGCTGGCCTCCTCCTCCTCCACTGCCCACCCTCCCCCTTCTCTCTCTGCGCCCCTCCCACAGGCCTCCTGCCTCTTCTCAGAGGCTGGCAGTTTTGAGCCTGCTTCTCCCTCCCCCCAGGGCCCACACATCCCAGACGCCAGGGCAGGTTTCTCGAATCAAAGAGAGGTGAGTCTCTCTTGGTGCAGGGTGGCGGATACGAAGGGAGGGGTTCAGGAGGCCCCAGGTCAGCCCTGGGATCCTGGTTCGAGAGAAGCACACCAAGAGAGGGCAGGCGGGGGCACACAGTGCGGGGCGGAGAGTGGAAGGGAGACAGGACGCAAGGGAGGGGCTGCAGGGCCGGCCGCCCGCCCGTTACTTGGTGCCATTGTCCGCGTTGCCCTCTCCATCCGTCTTGCCCTCCTCCTCCGTCTTCAGGTCATCCGTGCTCAGTTTCTGCTCCTTTTTCCTCCTCACACACTTTACTACCATCAGCACCAAGATGACCACAGCCAGAAAGCCCCCGACGGAGGCGCCCACGATCACGGCCACAGTGGAATCCCGCTCAGGGGGCTCTGGAGAAGGAGAGGAAACAGACGCGCTGAGCCCTAGGGCTGGAAAAGGGAGCCTCGTCCACTGGTCCCTGCTCCCTGCAGTAGGTGTGGGGTGGTCCTGACTTTACTCTCCTCCGTGGAAAGCACTCTAGTCAAAGCAAAAATCAACCCAGGCCATGGACCTCTAAGCGCCCCACCCACCCCATAATCCCAGGACACCTAAAAGCCCCAGGGGAGGGCACTATAATGCAGTATCCAAGAAGATGGACTTTGAGGTCAAATGGACCCAATTTGAGTCCTGATTGTACTATTTATTAATTGTGTGACCTTAGGTACCTTACGTAGCCTCAGTTTCCTCATCTGTAAAATGGGAATAATCATAGTACCTCCCTCATAGGGTTGTATGAGGATGAAGTGAGATATTGCATCTCGAGAGTTTAGCCCTAGCTATAACTGAGACATAGCAAGTGTCCAACAAATGAAAGCTGCTCTTCGGATTCTTAAGATCGTGATCGTGCTGGACAGCATCATCAGGACTCCCTGAGACATAGTCCTCAAGGACGGGAAGGAGTAAAACAGATGCCTTCCACCCAGCACGTGCTGTTGCTCCCGCCCCTCAGGAGGGCACAGCCTCTCCCAAGGAGCCCCAGCTAGTCCTGCTGGAGAGTAGCTGGGTGGGAATGGGCAGGGCCCCCCAGCAGCCCCTCACCTTCCATGAGGACTTGCAGGTAGATCTTGCCGTGGCCGCGGTGGCGGTCGGGTGGGTTCATGATGTAGCAGTTGTAGGTGCCCTCATCCTCCAGCTGCACGTTTCTCAGCGTGACTGACACGTCATACTTGCTGGGGTTCCCTGAGAACTCCACGCGGTCTCGGAACCGCTCCAGCTTCAGGTTAATGATCTTCATGCGGAACTGGAGAAACTGGGGCGGCAGGAGGCGACAGGATAGGGGGCTGCATGAGCAAGGAGCTGCAAGGACAGCAGGATGCCCCTCCTCCCATGCCCCCTTCTACCTGGAAGAGAGGCAGTCACCTCTAGGTCTCTGCCACCCTCCCAGGGCCACCCAGGCACGACAGCACACCTCTGCCAATGCCCTCAGGAGCAGATAGCCCACCAGGGTATGCTAGGGTCCTGGTACAGTGCAGGGGCAGGTGGTGGGAAAGGGGAGCTTCACGCTGTGGGGCTCCTGCCTCCCCCACCCCTGCCTCCATCTGAGAACTCACCATCTCCTCGGAGCAGTTACTACACTCCTGGTAAGTCCAGTTCAGGGAGAACTGTTTGTGGTTCACGGTGTAGCAGGAGTTGAAGGTGCAGGACAGGCGGGCATCAGAGCCATTGAGGACGTTGAGGGTGGTAGGTACTGTGACTTCCATGCTCCTCCCTGGTGGCACTGTGGACAAAGCCACAAGCTGGTGAGGATTCTGGCAGACAAGGCCAGGGAGGGGGCAAGCCTCTGCATCTGGTGGGGAGCGGAGCAGAGCTAGGACAGCTGGCGGGGTCCCTTACGGCTGAAATTAGGGGGTGGGGTGGAGTGGGGTGGGCAAAGCTCCTAAGCGGTAACTGATGTGGCCCTTGGGGTGGAGAGAGAGCACATCATCTGTCAAGCCAGGGACAGACAGATGGCCTCAAGCCTTCCCTCCATCTGGCTGTCCTGCCACAGGCCTGTCATGGCCACCTGATGGCTTAGACAAGGGGCTGCACGGTGCTGGCCTCGGTTCCCCCTTCTTCCCACCACTTTCAACCATCTCGGCTGAGCCAAAGCCCTTCCAGCTGAAGCTGCAGTGTCCCCTGGGGGCAGGCAGCCTTGAGGACAGATGCAGATACAGAAGGCCTCGCTCTCTATACCGCAGGGAAGAGTCAAGCCATATGCCCAGCCCAGCCCAGCCCCCTTCTCTTCCTCAGGCTCCTGGCAGGGACAGCAGATGGGCAACGGGAAGGAAGAGATGCCCCAGAAGAATAGGCACAATTCGAAGGGATCAACTGATGGGTCTACAAGGACAGGAGCCCCTTTTGGAGATGCCAGGCCTGGACACACCGCAGCAAGGAGCTGATACAGGCTGCAGGGACAGCAGGGTGCAGAATCCTCTGGGGAACACTGGACCTGGTCCAGGAGCCCTGGGCGTGTGGCCTGAGAAGGCCCATCCCACTCTGACATTCCAAGCAGGGCAGAGTCTAGGGTGAGGGGAGTGAGCCGAAGCCCTCCCAGCTGAAGCTGCAGTGCCCATCCCACCCCCCGCCCACAGAGGGGCAGAAAGCCTTGGGCGCGAGATTTAAGGGGGTGCCCACCCTCAGGGTCATGCAAACACCTCCTTAAATTTTGCACCCTAGGCACTGCACTCACCTCACCCTAGCCCTGGGCTGAATTCCAAAATTCTCTGCCAGTATGCTCAAAACCTCATCCCAAAAGATGAATATTCTTTATAAAGGAGAAGCAGTAATGCTCAGTATCAATCATTCATTCACTCATTTACCAAATATTTATAAATCACCTCCGGTGCCCCAGGCACTCAGTCTAGGGCCCAGGGATTATTGCTATGATGGAGGCAGGCAGAGGTACTGTAACATGGAGCTTATATCCTAGGGAGGGGGACAGACATTAACAGGGAAAAGAAATAATGTAACTTTAGCTATTGATTCACAGGCAAGGGCTGTAAAAAATAAACAAGGTGCAGGGTGTGTTTGACATCGGGTGGTCAGGGAGAGCTGCTCCGAGCGCTGCCCTGTAGGTGGCCCCACACTAAAGTGAAGGAGTGAAGCCATTTGAAATTTTGAAGGAATGCAAGGCAGCCGAACATCAAGAGGGAAGTTCCAGGGGTTGGAATGAGCATCACGTATCTGAAGCACAACCAGCAGAGTGATCAAGGGGGCAACTGGAGAGAGCTGAGGTCCCAGAGTTAGGCCAGGACCAGGACACTATTCTGAGTGAGAGAAGAAGCCGCTAGGGGACGGCAGGGGGGCAGCTAGGAGGCACGGAGACCCCAGTAGATGTGATTCAATCCCAGCTCTGCCTTCTATCGGCTGGGAGAACATGGGCAAGTTCCTCTATCTTCTGAGCCTCAGGCCCCTCCTCTGTAAAACGCAGCTGATGATACCTACCTCCTGGGGTTACGGTAATAATTAAATAAGATAAAATATGTAAAGCAAAGGGTAGGGGAATTCCCTGGCGGTCCAGTGGTTAGGACTCAGCACTTTCACTGCGGTGGCCCGGGGTTCAATCCCTGATGGGGGAACTAAGATCCCGCAAGCTTCAAGGCACCGCCAAAAAAAAAAAAATACAAAATAAAAATAAGGCAAAGGGTAGCCTAAATTCTCCTCAAGTTCTGCCCCCTAAGCAGGAAGGGCTTAGGCAGGGCCACGTTGGAGCCTGACCCCTCGGGGCAGCCCCTTGGAATTCCCCCGGATTGCACAGGGCTCGCGTTTTGCAGAAGATTTCGCTGTGCAAAGCTGCCGGGCCCCACCCCAGGAACAGCAGCACTGCAGCCTGGAAGCAGGGATAGCGAAGCCCTTCCACTCGGCTCATCCCTTCGGATGAGTGGCCAGGGCCAGCAGGCAGGACTTAAGAACAGGAGATGCTCTGAACTGCTGGCCAGGGAGGTCAGGACCCAGCCCTAGATGGAGGGACAGGCACACGGCTCCACCTGCAAGGCCAGGTGTGCTGAAGTGCTCATCAGGGAAATACGAACTGGAGAGGCTGAGCGGCAGCCCCAGGAGAACAAAGCCCAGTTCCCATCTCCTCGCTCTCACAACGTTATGAAAGCACTGAGCACAGCGCCAGGCGAGGAGGAGGTGTGCTGAAAATGCCATCTCCGCCCCCGCTCTGCAGAGGCGGAGGTATCTTCAGGGAAGGAGCCCGGCAGGGCCTTGTCCTGAGCTTACCTCACATCCCAGGAACACCTTGCTTCTCTAGCACCTTCCCTGGGAAGGTTCCGCGACCTTCCCAGGGCACCTGAGCAAAAAAAGCCTCCAAGTGGCATTAGGAAGTAGGTCCCACACATCTGGCTGACCCATCCCTGCCTGTGTCCCGCCCCAGGCCACAACATCACTCCAGAGACAGAACTTGAACCCTACCAGGAGCTGCCTCCAACTTGAAGGAGCTAGCACTCTGCTGTGCGGGAGGGCAGAGCCCTGGGGAGTGAGGGGCCTTTTCTGGCCAGCAGGAGGGGGGCAGACTGAGAGGTGCAATGCGGCTCCTTCCCCGCATCCCTACGGCACAGCCTGCAGGAGGCACCAGGCGGACACGTGTGCCCTCTAGTGGTCAGAGAGGTCAACCGTCAAGTCCCAACTGCAGAGAGAGGAACAGGAGTCACCAAAGCAGGGGGAACCTCAGAAATTGTAGATCCAGCTCCATCATCTTACCAACGAGGAAACTGAGGCCTGAGAGAGACACACAGCAGGTAGGGACAAGCCGGGTCCCGAATCACGGTTCCTGACTCCCAGTAGAGCGCCCACTTCCGCCTGAGGTCTCCCAGTGTCCCAGCTCAGGGCAAGGGCCTTAGGCCTTTCACCAATCCAGGCCCTCGTTAAAGATGAGGAAATCATCGTGCAGCGAGGACAGAGCTGTGAGCAAAATCCTGGGCTCCTGGTGAGCTCTGCTGCTTCGGGAAATTAGCCGAATCCACGGCTAGGGCCACAAAGGGACTTCATAGTAACAACAAGATGCTTACTGTGCGCCAGGCGCTGTTTACATACCCTACAGATATCACCTCATTTAATACAGCAACCCTATTATCACCCCCACTTTCCAAGTGGGGAAATGGAGCACAAAAAAGTTAAATGAATAGCCCAAGTTCACAGCTGGTAAGTGACAAAGCTAGATTGGAACGCAGGCTGCCAGGCTGCCAGGCTCTAGACAGCAGGTTGAGGGGTGGAGGCTGGGTGAGGGGGTGAGTTTTGTACCAAGGGGTCCCAGGGCTCAGTCCTCCTGCTGTCTACATGGCAGGTCCAGCCCCCATGTCAGCCCCCAGGCAGTCAGGCTGGCCAGAGGGGAATGGTCTTCTTTAAAGGAACCTCCATACAAGGGGGGCTCACAATCTTCCTGGTTTTCCCATTTGGGACCATGTCTGGAGCCTGAGTCTCTGATCTCCAACTCACAGAAAGGAAATGATTCAACAAGGGTACCGTAAGGATGTGGCTTTTGAGCTCAGTTCCAAAACTTCACCAATGCCCAGGGCCCCTCACTCTCTCTAAGGTGTATCTGGGCACTTCAGGCCCCATGTCATATACTTTTCTAACTGGCCCGTCTTGCAGAGATCACAAAAATTTGCTCATCTCCTGTCAAACACTATTTCCTACACAGACTAGAAGTTAATTCTCTTCATGCCTCTTTCCAACCCTACAGCAACCTATGAGGTAGGTTAATTTTTTTCTTGGTTAAAAAAAAAAAACCAGAGTTTGTCTAAGCAGAGAAATTAGTCCCCACCCTTCTGGAGCACGCTGTGTCCCAGGGCAGCCCCTGCTACCCAGGTGACTGTGACACGCAGCCCAACTCCTGGGCTGCCTTACCATTCAGACCCACCACCTCAGGTCTCCCTCGCAGGCCAGGCCACCCCCATGCAGCCGGGAGAGCACCTGTCCTTGTCACCCCTCATCCCCAATTGCCATTGGCTCCCTGCTGCTTTCAGGATCTCGTCCAGGCTCCTGGGCTTCTGAGCCCTTTGCCATCTGGGACCATCCAGCATCCCAGCCTCATTTCCTGTCCTGCTCCCAACCCTTCACGCTTCCTCCACTCCAGTGACCCTGGAGTTCTTACTTTCCTGAAAACGCCACCTTCTTCCACTCCTCCATGCCTTTGCATGTGTTTTTGCTGCAGGTTGGAAAGCTCATTCACCCTGCTGCCCCTGAGCCCTCCTGCTTACCCCGCAGATCCCAGCTAACAAGGCATCGCCCCCATGGCAGCTTCTCCAGTGCCCGTGACCTCTCCCCAGACCGGGAGGTTTCTGTCACTTCCAGACCGGGAAGCAGAATGGCATAGTGGCCAAGACCAGCGCTCTAGCACCGTGGTCTGATCTTAGGCAAGATGGTTCACCTCCCAGCACCTCAGTTTCCTCATCCGTAAAATGGGAGACAACAATAGGTCCTACCTCCTGGGGCCGTTGTGAGGATTGAATACTAAAACATAAAGCTCACAGCGGTGCCTGGCTCATGGTCAGCCCCCACCAAAGGTTAGCTGCTAACAGCACATGGGATGCTGCATTACTATTTTTTGTTTATGTTCCCTAGTCCCTCGGGAGGCTCTGGGGAGCTGATTCTTATTTATCTTGGCATCCCGGGACCCGGAACAGCATGTGACACACAGTGGGCACTCGATAAAAGTCTGAAGAGGGAAGGGAAGGTGTTTTCCCCTGTGTGTCCGTGTGCAGTGGGGTTGAGTGAGGACCAGACTCCACTTTCTAAGCCTCGCCTAACATAACCCAGACTTTGGTAACCAGGCCAGTGACCGTGGAGCCAAGAGTTTTGAGACAAACTCTAAGGAAAACCAATCATTTGGATTGCTTCTAACTGAAAACTAGTCCCATGTGCTTCTGTGGTGTGTACAGCAGGTTGGCCAGCTGTCCCCTGTCCCTTTGTCAGCTCTGTAGTCATCCTCGCAAACCCAGGCCCTGTGTCAGTCCCCTCCCTTGTCACTTGGGACATCCCTCCATCTTGGGGACTGATGCTGCTACAACCACCAAGGTTCCATTGTCCACTTGAGCCCTCGGCCTCGGAGTACCAGGGCCTGTCTCATCACAGCACCAATCAAGTTCAAGTTCAAGGTCCCTACTCCTGCACCCTCCCCCCATCCAGGTTTGCAGAGGCTTTAGCCTCCTCCCACCACCGCCTCACAGCCCCCATGCCCTGACCTCTTCACCCTAGATTCCATCTTCCTCTAAGCCACACCCTGGTCCTGGTCCCCGAGCCCCCTTACTTTCTTCACTTAGATAAGGCTCTCCCTCCTTCAGGAAGCTCTCCCTAACTCCCCAAACAGGTTGCCTGTCCTCCATCCTCATTTCCTTGCACACTGGTCACTCACCCAACTCCCCTCTTTTGCCTGTACTTAAGATTCTTTGATCCAAATTACTGTTACTATAGCAGCATCATTTCTTAAATATCGGGGGCAGTAGAATTCAGTGGTTAAGAATGGGGTGAAGCAAAAATAAATTCAAAATGGATTAAAGACCTAAATGTAAAGCCAGACACTATAAAACTCTTAGAGGAAAACATAGGCAGGACACTCTATGACATAAATCACAGCAAGATCCTTTTTGACCCACCTCCTAGAGAAATAGAAATAAAAACAAAAATAAACAAATGGGACCTAATGAAACTTAAAGCTTTTGCACAGCAAAGGAAACCATAAACAAGACAAAAAGACAACCCTCAGAATGGGAGAAAATTTTGCAAATGAAGCAACTGACAAAGGATTAATCTCCAAAATATACAAGCAGCTCATGCAGCTCAGTAACAAAAAACAAACAACCCAATCCAAAAATGGGCAGAAGACCTAAATAGACATTTCTCCAAAGAAGATATACGGATTGCCAACAAACACATGAAAAGATGCTCAACATCATTAATCATTAGAGAAATGCAAATCAAAACTACAATGAGGTATCACCTCACACAGGTCAAAATGGCCATCATCAAAAAATCTACAAACAACAAATGCTGGAGAGGGAGTGGAGAAAAGGGGACCCTCTTGCACTGCTGGTGGGAATGTGAATTGGTTCAGCCACTATGGAGAACAGTATGGAGGTTCCTTAAAAAACTAAATATAGAACTACCATATGGCCCAGCAATCCCAGTACTGGGCATATACCCTGAGAAAACCATAATTCAAAAAGACACATGTACCACAATGTTCATTGCAGCTCTATTCACAATAGCCAGGACATGGAAGCAACCTTAGTGTCCATCGACAGATGAATGGATAAAGAAGATGTGGCGCATATATACAATGGAATATTACTCAGCCATAAAAAGAAACGAAATTGAGTTATTTATAGTGAGGTGGATGGACCTAGAGTCTGTCATACAGAGTGAAGTAAGTCAGAGAGAGAAAATCAAATACCGTATGCTAACACATATACATGGAATGTAAAAAAGAAAAAATGGTCATGAAGAACCTAGGGGCAGGACGGGAATAAAGACACAGACCTACTAGAGAATGGACTTGAGGATATGGGAAGGGGGAAGGGTAAGCTGGGACAAAGTGAGAGAGTGGCATGTACATATATGCACTACCAAACCGATAGCTAGTGGGAAGCAGCCGCATAGCACAGGGAGATCAACTCGGTGCTCTGTGACCACCTAGAGGGGTGGGATAGGGAGGGTGGGAGGGAGACACAAGAGGGAGGGAATATGGGGATATATGTATATGTATAGCTGATTCACTTTGTTATACAGCAGAAACTAACACACCATTGTAAAGCAATTATACTCCAATAAAGATGTTAAAAAATAAAAAAGAAAGGGGTGAAGTCAAACAAGGGGTTCAAATCTCAGCTCCCCTTAAACTACTGTGACCTTATTGGGCAAGTTACTTAACCTCTCTGTGCCTGTTTCCTCATCTGTAACGTGAAGATCATAATGTATCTGCCCCATGCGGTTACCAGTTGCCGCGAGGACTAAACAAGATACACAGCGCGTGGGCACGTGAAAAGAGTTCATAAAGCGTAGCTATTCTTAAGCACTTGCTATGTGCCAGACTCACAAAAAACCCAGGCAGTAGGTATTCTCCAGTTCACCCAGGAAAGAACTGAAGCTCAGAGGGGAGTAACTTGCTGATAGTATGAAGTAAATGACAAAGGTGGCTTTAAACCCAGATCGAGTCCAAGGCTCATGCTGTCTCTACTGCCTGAGCTTCCCTAACACTCCTGCTCTGTTGTTAATATGTTCAGTAACTCAGCAAAGCTCACAGGCCTTACCGTGCAGGCTGCCAGGGGCCCTGGGCTGTCTCTAGCACTCCAGCCCAATATCCAGCACAGCATGCCAGAGAAGGAGAGAAAAAGAGCAAGAGAAGGAGGGAGAGAGAAACTTTGTGATGGGGAATATTCCCACTGACAGCCGTTGGACTGGATCCTCAATTGCTATGCCAGCAATGAGTAAGTTTAAGAGCAAAAAGGAGACTACCTATAATGCAGGCTTGCAAGTGACCCCCTAGCCCACCTACCCACCAGGAAGTCCCTTAAGTGGCCATGTATGAAATTAGCATTTGGATCTCTTGACAGTCGGCAAGGTGGGGCTGGACAGTTCAGAGATGTGATCCAAAGGGCCACAACCACACTCATGTGTTCCCTTTTTTTCTTTTTTTTTTTTTTCTGATCCATTCACCTGACCCCTCCTCCACTCCATCTGGCCCAAGCCAGAGAGCTTCTCCATCAGTGCCTGCTTCAGCAGTTCTCTTCCCAATGCAGAGATCGCTCCCCAAGGCTGCTTCCCACCTACGCCTCCACACACTGCAACAAATCGGTGGTACAGATTTCCAGGAAGCCAGACCCAGACTCAACTTTCTGCCCCTCTACTCCCCCCCGTACACTCTTTTCTGACAACCTAAATCCACCAGATTCCAAAGATCAAGGTTCACAGAAGAAGCCCCTTAAGGGAGCATTAAGTCCCAGGAGATTTGTAGCAGCTAAAAGAAAAAATCCATGAAGAGGCTCTGCACATCAGCCTACCCTCGGCCCCCAGCCCCACATATGTCCATTTCAGGGAAATCCAAAGAAAAATCACCTCCCTTGACAATTGACACCTCCGAGGAACCCTCAGATCCCCTGACCCAACGTTTCTGCGACCAAGTTGTCCCAGCGTTATGCAGTCCCCAGCCACATCTCCCCCCATCCCCGCGCCTCCCTTCCCAAGGACAACGCCGAAGGGAGGCTCAAGCGATGTCTTCTTTCCTGCCCCCGGCCCCCATCCTCCTCCTGTTGCGGCTGCACTTCTGTACCCTCAGAAGCATGCAGATGTGCAGTCTAACTTACCCAAAGAGAAAAAGAGACTGAGCCCCGTGAGACTGAAGGCAGGGCGAGGTAGCCAGGCATCTTTGTGCATTTTCAGAGACTGAGATGTTAGTCGGGTGGGATAGGGAGAGGGTGATTTGAGGGGCCGAGGGCTACAGGGGAGGAATGGTTAGATGCTAAAAGAAAAATGCACAGATGTACTTCAAAGACACATACAACATTAAGGAAGCTTTATTTCCATCTCTCTAATATGGCCGGCTTGTATGTTGCTGCTAAAAAGAGAGAGGGAGTGTGGAAGGGAGAGAGAAAAAAGTGGATGGAGTAAATTTTGTGGTTGGTGGATTTCGAAAAGCAGGTGGGAGGGCATAAAAAAATCTGTCTGCAAAGAGCAAAGTTCCTTGGAAATTTTTACCCTCCAAAACCAGAACTAAAGCATGGCCTGCCTTTCTTCTCCACTTGGGTGATGGTTGGAGTTGGAAAGTTGTTTGAGGAACCCATTTATTTCAAAGCTGCTGTGAGGGGTGAATTCTTTTTGTCATTTAAAAACACCCAAAAAAGGAGATGCTAGTTTTTGTTTTGTTTGAAAAGGGTTCAGGGAAATGAGGTGGGAGACTTTCAGGAAGTAAGAACTTCCTCATTTTTCTAGCATTTCCACTGAAAACAGAACAGCAGGTTGGTGTAAAAATACCTGAGAGCTCTTACAGTCATTTGTAACATGAACTTTTGGGGAATCCTGATTCAATCAAATCAACAGTAAAAAGACATTGTTGAGATCATTGGGAAGAAAATAAATATGGACTGGGTGTTAGATTATATTAATGAATAATTCTTGATTTGGTGGGGGGGACGTTAAAAATTTTTTGTGGTTGGGACTTCCCTGGCCATCCAGTGGTTAAGACTCCGTGCTTCCACTGCAGGGGGCACAAGTTCGATCCCTGGTCAGGGAACTATTATCCCACATGCCCCATGGTATGGCCAAAAAAAAATATTTGTGGTTATGTTCTTGGAGTGCTTATAGGTGAAATGATACGATGGTTGAAACTTGCTTTAAAATATTCCAAGAAAAAAAGTGGGGGGGAGGTAGGTGACACAAGACCAGATGTTGAAACTGGTTGTTTCAACAGATGTTGAAAAAGGGAGAAAACAATAGGCTAGTGTCACAAGTAGGAGAACTTGGGGTGGAGTACCCACGTGGCCCTAAGCAGATAAGGTGACCCCCACTCCTCTGGGGAGACATTTGAAGAGAACACAGGTTCTCCTGTAGCCACTACAGGCACTTGCGATGGGCCACTGGTGCAGCAAGGAGGGAGCCACCCACATCTTAGAGCATCAACTCTGTGCCAAGTCTTTAAAAGTTTGTACTTAATTGTAAGCCTGGAAGAGGTGATTTCTTCTCTTTTCTTTTTAAATTGCAATGAGGAAACAGAGGCCGACAGGGCCTAACCCACTCAAGTTACCTAGGATAGTTAAGGGCAGAGTCAGAGCCAGGACTCAAACTGAGGTCTGTGTGAAACACTGGGTATGTCCAGTATTCCACATCACCTGTTGCCAAGGGGAGGAGACACGACACCTTCCCTTGGGGTGTTTAGAGACACAGAGAAGAGCAGACTGGACTAGATGAAGCAAGGGGCCTCTGCGTGTGTGTGTGTGTGCGTGTGTGTGTGTGTGTGTGTGTGTGTGTGTGTGTGTGTGTGTAAAAGAAGGTGCTAAGAGGCAGGGCATGGAGGAACCAAATGAGAGGCCAGCACAGTGCTTGGTTCAAAGCAGACACTCAATAAACAGGTGTGCATAGCTGCACGGGGGCACCCTGAATGAATGAATGAATGAATGAATGAATTTGGAGAGGAGTGAGACATCGTCCACATCATCGTGAAGGCAGTAAAATCTGGCTGAGGCCGCTGAGGCTGTCCTAGGCTGGGGAGGAGTGAAGTGGGCCAAATTTGGGTGGCAGTTGCTAGAGGCAGAAAGGCGGAGAGGAGGCCTCTGTGCTTCTCCACACCAGAGGTGGTTGTCCATGCCTGCATCTTGCACAGACTGTCGCCAAAGTTCCTCTGTCACTTCCCCAGAGTCTGCCTGCAGCTGGCTCATGCATTCACAGAGCTCACAGCCCAAGGGAAGGAAAATCAGAGAAGAAGAGATGGGGCAGCCTAGGGAGAAAAGTGTCTTCCGGTGGCCACAACCCTCAGGCCCCAGGCCTCCTCCGCTGTCAGCAGTGGCCTGGCTCACAGGCGTGCCCGGAGAGATAGATTGGCACCAGCCCGTGCCCTGGCTCCCGCACAGCCCCTCGGCCAGGTCTGCAGCACCATGTCAGCCCAAGAGTTTTCGTTTGACATAGCCGGCCTCCTCCTTTTTCTTAATGCAGCTGAGCGTGCCTGTGAGGCCCAGGGAAGCTGATTACTGGGCTCACTTGGTCTCACACTGGGTCCAGACGCTTCTGTTTTGGGGACATCTGAGACAAGAAGGGGATCCAGAAGTTCCTTTGCCTCAATCCAGAATTTGGCTAAGAGAAACCAAGTATATGACTTTATAGACTTTGTCCAACTCAGCCCTCCAGGACCAAGGGTCAGAAGGCTCCAGTTCAGGGGAGAGACACCCTGGCAGGGTGAGTCGGGAGGAGAGCTACCCCAGAACCTCCCCTCAACTCACGTGGGCCTCCAGATGCCCATTTGCTCCAAAAGAATACGCTTTCCCCAGGAGCCAATACAAGCCTGAGAAGCAGAAACTTGAAGAGGTATTTTGCAGAATGAAGACACCACTGTTGAAGACTGGCCATTTGGGAAATGAAGCCCTATTTTCGGCATTTCTACCCAGTGCCATTCATCCATGAAGATTTTATTAGACAACACTCAATTACCTACCCTGCTGGGGAAGACTGTTACAAATAATCTAAAGGAAGGTAGCTTCCTTTTGCCTTTGGAATTCGTGGTTGAAGCTACAAAGAGGCTCCCTAGGTACCACTGCCTTACTGGACCAGCATCCTCAGCATCACCTGGGTTCTCCTTCGAAATGTACAGTCACAGGCCCTACCTCAGACCCAAAGAATCAGAATTTGCATTTTTAACAAGATCTTTAGGTGTTTCTTGAGCACAGTAAAGTTTGAGAAGTAACACCTTCAGCTAATACTAAAAGGTTCGCATCCCAGGAGCAAGGGGCAATGCAGGCCAGGTTTGTGGGGTTGGGGAGAAGGCACCGGCAAGCAGAAACAAACTTAGGGGTAAATGGGCAGAGCAACCGGCGGCCTGCTCAGGGATAACAATCTCACTCACCTCTCTCCTCTGCCCGGGCCCTTCCCAAGCCATTCCACACCAGGCGAGGTTTCTCTTACCCCCGCATAGGGCTTTACATCATGGTGTCTCTGCCTCTGCAGTTTCCTCTTCTAGGAATGCCCTTCCTCCCTTGTCTACTCAGCCAGCTCCTAGCCCTTCTTCAAAAATCTGCTACAAAGTAACCCCTTCTTTGTCGTACCTACATACCTCTCCTCTCTCTGCTGCTGTGACCCTGGGTCCATTCACTCATTTATCAATTCCCTCAGTCAACAAACTCAAATATCTATTTAATGTCCCCTATGTGCCAGACGCTAGGCTAGAAACCAGAGACCCAGAAACGAGTGATATACAGCTCATCCTTTGAGAGCTTACCTTCTAAATAGAGAGACAAATGTATCAATCCCCATCTACAGTACACCTGGGTTGCCCGAGTCAGGGAGTATTGTCATTTTTTGTTTATACATCTTACCTCCCCAACTAGACTGTAGCTTCTTAAAGACAGGGGTTGTGTCTTACTCTTTTTAGTTTGTGCTGGGCCACTACTGGTCCCTGAGCAGATGAAAATGAATGAATGAATGTCTATTTTACATCTGGGGAAACAGCAGAAACTCCATCAGCCTGACCTTTCACAGCCAAAGTGTGGTAGAACCAGGACTGGGAGCCAGGTCCAGCCACTCCACACCCTAGGAATTCCATTCAACAAGGGACTGTCCCACATGGGGTCAGGTGCTGCAAAGCTCACAGAAAAGACCTAAGCAGGATCTCTAAGAGTTTAAGATCTCTCACAGAAAAGAAAGCCTCACACCCATGAAACAATTAGAGAACATCAGAAGATAAAATCTGGTAAGTGTAGAGACATCTAGGAAGATGTGAGAAATAGGAGATCACCCAGGCGAGACTCAAGCAGGGCCTTGAAGGAATGTTGACTTGGGCAGGCAAGAAGGAAAAGGGAATTCCAGGCAGGGGAACACCAAGAGCAAAGGCTCAGAAGCACAAAAGACCAAGGTATATGGAGCAGAGGGTTCCTGTCACGGAAAGAAAAAAAAAAAATGAGAGACGTGGATGGGTAGACAAGATGGTACCCAACCTCAGAAGGCCATGAACATATGATGTGGACTTCAGACAAGGGCTTTGAAAGTTCTGGGACAAGTAAATCATGATTGCTCTCACCACCTATGAAATAAGAAAGGGTTTAGCTTTCTGTGAAAACTCCAAGTTCCCTTATTTTTTGATAAAGAAGGGGTGTTTCGAAAGTTGGGCTTTATAGAAGTGGTAATGGATCGCCTGATCTCCCTTGAGGAAGACCAAACCACATTTGCAAACCAGCTGGCCAGGACAGAAGGTCAGGAGTCTTGAGAAACTTTGTTTATTCTTAGTAAGAAGATAACTGGTCTGTGTTGGGATAAAACTTGCAACCTAAGGTTCTTTGGGTCTAAGCAACTGAGCCAAATCAGTGGCAGTGTGACCCCTTACACACATACACACACACACACACACACACACACACACACACACACACACAGAGCTAGCATTTTATAAAAAACAATTGCCAGTATAGACATGTAAGCATATGGGCTAGCCAGAAGGAGAAAGAGTGGGGTGGCAAAGAGAAACAAAAGACCAAAGGGCTGGCGGAAGGCTGCAGCCTTTAATAGGAGGCACATCTTCTGCAGGTCCGCAGTGGACAGACAGGCTGAACTGTTTTCAATTCCAATAGCCAAACTCTGACAGTGCCAGATTATCCATTATTCTTGGATGGTCCCACCCCCTCTACCCTTATGCTGCTTTCTGTTGGCAAAAGCCTGCTTGCTTCTGGAAGCCTTTGAATATGGGAGCATCTGGTGTCCTAGAGACTTAAAATACTACAAATTTGAGTAACAAAACTGCTTGGATCTACCAGGAGATCCAGCTCGCTCCATCTCCAGCAGGTTTCATACCCTTCAGAATGTCACCCCTTGGAGCTATGCAAAGCCCTTCCCTGAGCTCAGGTTCCTAACTCTTTCTTTGAATGGGAAGAGGGACTTAGGTATTTAGGGTTGCAAGGGCTTCCTGCCCATAGAAATAAAAATTAATGGGAGATGGGGACTGAATCATCAGAAGACAAATCCACTGGGGGAAACACACTGGAAGAGGATGGAGGGCCCAGACCAGGCTCTAGCCCCTAACTGACCTCATTTAGTCCCCACAATGTATTTTTATATCTGGGAAATAGCCTCAAAGAATTGACATAAACTTTGCAATACTGAAGAGAGAGTAAGAGGCAGAGGCAAGATATAAACCAGGCCTATTTGACCTTGAAGCCACTCCCTACGCCATATGCCTTCATGGCCCTGGATTTAGTAGACAAGCACCCCTAGGCGAAGGGCATGAGGGAGCAAGCAGGTCTTTTCCATGGTCCCTTGCAGGGCTATTTTGGTTTGGGGCAAAATTATATTTGACAGCTGTGGACTTGCACTCTCAACTTTGACTCCATGCCTGTGTATAAGAGGAAAATTTGTGGAGAGGTAGGCTTGTGGGAAAGAGGTGGGCTTCCTCTTCCTCCTCCTTAGAATGGAAGCCAAACCTTGGATGAATCAAATTCACATTTGAGGTGGGCAAGTCAGACTCTGGAGGGGCATGCCCACAGTTCCCGGGGGAAAGCACCCTCTGCAGGAAGGAACGTATGCAGAAGCTACCCAGCCCACCCTCCAGCTCTTATCCCAAGTATCCCCTTCCACCCAGAGCAACAGATGTACAGTCACCATCCATCCATCTCACTCGGTATCCTGAAGGTCATCATCCTAGGAAAACAATAATTGAGGAAATGGAAAAGGGCCCCTTAGCCCAGGAGAGCATGTTACCTTATAGCCCAGAAATGAAACCACTTCCTTCCCATGAACTCTTAGTATATGAAAGACTCCTCCTCCCCCCACTCCTTATCATGTCAACACATGTCCCCTCTCTGGTATGTCTTGAACAGGCTATTGCCTTCAATTCACATACTGTAAATTATTGACATACTCCTTATTGAGAGCTGACAGGTGAGAAGGAGACATTTAATGACTCTTAGCCATGGATGAACAAAAAGAGGCTTCAGGCCTCCAAGTGGAGACCTGAGAGCCTTTGGTAAAAGAGAAAGATAATGATGAGTGTGTTATAGAGGGTTCTTGATATTTGCAGAATTAAGGAAACCCTTCAAAAATGTAGCTCCACTTACAGCTACGTGTAAAAGAATGAAATTAGAACACTCTCTAACACTATACACAAAAATAAACTCAAAATGGGTTAAAGACCTAGATGTAAGGCTAGACACTATAAAACTCTTAGAGGAAAACATAGGCAGAACAGTCTATGACATAAATCACAGCAAGGTCCTTTTTGACCCACCTCCTAGAGAAATGGAAATAAAAACAAACATCAACAAATGGGACCTAATGAAACTTAAAAGCTTTTGCACAGCAAAGGAAACCATAAACAAGACGAAAAGACAACCCTCAGAATGGGAGAAAATATTTGCAAATGAAGCAACTGACAAAGGATTAATCTCCAAAATTTACAAGCAGCTCATGCAGCTCAATATCAAAAAAAACAAACAACCCAATCCAAAAATGGGCAGAAGACCTAAATAGACATTTCTCCAAAGAACATATACAGATTGCCAACAAACATGTGAAAGGATGCTGAACATCACTAATCATTAGAGAAATGCAAATAAAAACTACAATGAGGTAACACCTCACACCAGTCAGAATGGCCATCATCAAAAATTCTGCAAACAATAAATGCTGGAGAGAGTGTGAGAAAAGGGAACTCTCTTGCACTGTCGGTGGGAATGTAAGTTGACACAGCCACTATGGAGAACAGTATGGAGGTTCCTTAAAAAACTAAAAATAGAACTACCATATGACCCAGCAATACCATTACTGGGCAAATACCCTGAGAAAACCATAATTCAAAAAGAGTCATGTACCACAATGTTCATTGCAGCTCTATTCATAATAGCCAGGACATGGAAGCAACCTAAGTGTCCATCGACAGATGAATGGATAAAGAAGATGTGGCACATATATGCAATGGAATATTACCCAGCCATAACAAGAAACGAAATTGAGTTATTTGTAGTGAGGTGGATGGACCTAGAGTCTGTCATACAGAGTGAAGTAAGTCAGAAAGAGAAAAACAAATATCATATGCTAACACATATATATGGAATCTAAAAAAAAAAAAAAATTGTCATGAAGAACCTGGGGCAGGACGGGAATAAAGACACAGACCTACTAGAGAATGGACTTGAGGATACGGGAAGGGGGAAGGGTAAGCTGGGACAAAGTGAGAGAGTGGCATGTACATATATACACTACCAAATGTAAAACCAATAGCTAGTGGGAAGCAGCCGCATAGCACAGGGAGATCAGCTCGGTGCTTTGTGACCACCTAGAGGGGTGGGATAGGGAGGGGGGGAGGGAGGGAGACGCAAGAGGGAAGAGATATGGGGATATATGTATATGTATAACTGATTCACTTTGTTATAAAGCAGAAACTAACACACCACTGTAAAGCAATTATACTCCAATAAAGATGTTTTAAAAAATCTAAATTTAGAAAACACATTATAAAAAATAAATAAATAAACAAACTCAAAATGGATTTGAGACCTAAAGCTAAGGCCTGACACTATAAATCCCTTAGAGGAAAACACAGGCGGAACACCCTTTGACATAAATCGCAGCAAGGTCTTTTTTGACCGACCTCCTAGGGTAATGAAAATAACAAGAAAAATAAACAAATGGGACCTAATGAAACTTCAAAGCTTTTGCACAACAAAGGCAACTATAAACAAGAGGAAAAGACAACCCTCAGAAAGGGAGAAAATATTTTCAAATGAATCAACGGACAAGGGATTAATCTCCAAAATATAACAGTTCATGCAGCTCAATATCAAAAAAACAAACAACCCAATCAAAAAGTGGGCAGAAGACCTAAATAGATGTTTCTCCAAAGAAGACATACAGATGGGCAACAAACACGTGAAAAGCTGCTCAACATCACTAATTATTAGAGAAATGCAAATCAAAACTACAATGAGGTATCACCTCACACCAGTCAGAATGGCCACCATCAAAAAATCTGCAAACAATAAATGCTGGAGAGGGTGTGGAGAAAAGGGAACCCTCTTGCACTGTTGGTGGGAATGTAAGTTGACACAGCTACTATGGAGAACAGTATGGAGGTTCCTTAAAACACTAAAAATAGAACTACCATATGACCCAGCAATCCCCCTCCTGGGTATATATCCGGAGAAAACCATAATTCAAAAAGATACGTGTACCCCAATATTCATTGCAGCACTATTTACCATAGCCAGGACATGGAAACAACCTAAATGTCCATCAACAGAGGAATGGATAAAGAAGATGTGGTACATATATACAATGGAATACTACTCAACCCTAAAATGGAACGAAACTGGGTCACTTGTAGAGACGTGTATGGACCTAGAGACTGTCATACAGGGTGAAGTAAGTCAGAAAGAGAAAAACAAATATTGTGTGTTAATGCATATATGTGGAGTCTAGAAAAATGGTAGAGATGAACTTATTTCCAAGCAGAAATAGAGCTGTAGATGTAGAGAATAAACGTATGGATACCAAGGCGGGAAACGAGGGTGGGATGGATCGGGAGAGTGGGACTGACATATATACACCACCATGTGTAAAATAGATAACTAATGAGAACAGAATGTATAGCACAGGGAGCTCTACTCGATGCTCTGTGGTGACCTAAATGAGAAGGAAATCCAAGAGGGGATATAGGTATACATGTGGCTTATTCACTTTGCTGTACAGCAGAAACTAACACAACATTGTAAAGCAACTATACTCCAATTTTAAAAAGTGCAGCTCACTTAAGATTGGATCAGAAATCAGAGACCCACAAAAGACCTGCTCTTTATCCAGGCCCTGAATGGCTAAGAGGGAAAAGTGGGATGCAGAGAATGAGGAAGGCCCTGTGGGAATAAAGACGAGGAGATCTGAGCTGGGCCCAGACTAGAAATAGGAGTTCAGAACCAAAGGATTTTAAAAACTAACCTCATTAAATCTTACAATAGTAACCCAAAGGTAAGGGAGCCTCACATTTCAGACCAAGAGTTAAATCACTGGCTGTCCACTTTGGCGACGCGTGAGTGTCACTTTTGTAAAAGGTAAGTGCCCCAGCTCCACCCAAGAATTCCAAACCAGAGCACCTCTGGTGGAGCCCAGCAGAGAGCCACCAGCCACTCTGAAACCCAGCCAGAATCAAGAAGCACTGCGTTAAGTCAAAGAGCCGTATTCATACCCCACTTCCAACCCCATTCACCCCCTCAAAACCCCAGTGTGTAAGTCACAGCAGGGCTTTCCTCCAGTCACTTCAATTGTTTCAGGAGTTCCAGACCATAGATTCCTCACCAAGACTCCACTTGCCCCTCAGCCAGGGTAGAAACACAGGATGATTTCCACAAACTGCATTTATTTGGGGATAATTGGCCAAAGAAATCATTTGGGTTGGTTTTTATCTCTGTGATTCTTCCCTGGAACCATCCACAAAGAGCACCGTCCAAGCAGAGGGTCTGACCTGATGGGATGCTTGCGGCCTCTGGGGCAGCTCAGTCAGGGTCCCCAGGGCCAGTGTCCCGCTCCAGAGGGACCAAGTCCATGCTCCCCCTAATCAGGGCCTGTTCCTCCAGAGCTGTCCCATCTCTCTGCCAAGCTTCAAGCCCTCCATCTTCAGCCCTTTGCCCAAGCAATGAGGCCGGGGGAGGACTTGGAGGGCAGGGGGTCTGACATGGACTCAGGACACAAGGAAGAGAGAGTCTGTGCCACGGCCAAGGGCAAAGGGAACTCCCCCTTCTTTTCAAAAAGCTTGCTCTGTCCTTGGCATTCCCCCATCTGACTTTTTGTCAGATGGGCTAGTTGGTGCTGACCTCAGAGAAGGCCAAACTGGGTGCTGTGGGGAGAGAGAAACAAAGCACATTTGTAAGAAGCATTTCAATCATAATAGTTACCATTTATTGAGCTCTTTCCATCTGTCTGGCCCAATTCTGAATTTCACATGCACTGTCTCATTTGATCCTTACCACCCGAGAGATAGGTTTTATTATTCCCATTAAGGATTAAGAAACTGAAGTTCAGAGAAGCTAAGTTACCTGCCTAAGACTGAGCTAGCTTCTAAGTCAAGGTAAAGATTTGGACCCTGGTGTGTCCAACTCCAAAGCCTGTGATCTTAACCATTGTGCTATACAGCCTCAGAAAGGGGACACGGCGCGGTGCCCCCTTCATTTAAGTAAATTTAATCAAGAAGCAAAGGTTCTTTGTTACCCTGCTCTCTTTCAGATAACACCTCCCTACCTGAGGTCTCAAACAAGTGGTACGCAGGCCAGAATTCACCCACGGGCTTGTTTAATTTGGTACATAGTGTTTTAAAATAACTTGACAACCCCTGAAGGGCTTTGAGCTTGTGGCCCTGTCCTCTCATCACACTCGCTGTAGTGAAACCGTTTCAAGGGGACAGGGCTGCCATTTTCTGCAAAGTTTAAACCGCAAGCACCTGGCAGTGAACATGGGGAAGCTGGCTTTGAAACTGGCTTTCCCTCCTCCATCATCTCTGCCCCGCAGACTATCTGCAGACAGTACCACCCAGGTGGCTGACACACTCCGCAGCAGCCGCTGTGCAGCTGTATCAGCAGGTCTCTAAGATGAGGCTCTGGCCGTCACTGTAGCACCACATGGCTATAACAGGAGAAGGATGGGGGAGGGGAATGACTATATTCAACTTCAGAGGGGAGCTTATGTTTCCCTTGGTGGAGCCAGGCCAGGGCTCTGATCTCACACTTCCCTGGCAGAACCTTTCTCTGCTGTAATTATCTGGAAGTTCATGTGTCCTTAGTGCTGGTGTGACAGGAACAAACACAAGCCATCATCCTATAAACAGAGGAGGCCAGCCTTCCTGAACCCAGCAGAACACGGCTCCCTCCATGGCTGGGGTGCCTAACGTTAGTCTACAGATAGCATCATATCTCTCGCCAGCTCAGTCCTTTTGTCCTTACCCCTACTCACTACACAGCAAGTGTCTTTTTTAGGTGCTGGACTTCCCTGGACAGTTGAGCAAAGAGAAAGTAGGAATCAGACTCTGTATTATTACATGAAATTCAGCATGAAGTCTTGCCGGCAATTAGATGATGTCAAGGTATAATAAGTCACAGAATTTAAAAATCTAAGAGTTGGAAGGCACCTTTTGAAAGGAAGGAAAACCATCCCTTGTGACACGATGCTTGTGCAAGGATCTTACAGCCCCCTCGTTACTATGCTAAGATCAATCCTTTCCAGCCCTAGAGATGCTCATAATACTCGAAACTGGGTACAAGGACAAGTTTGATATGACTTTTCTATCCAGCAGAGCTTCAGCTTCTCACCCTTTCCTACTACCTAGAAGAATCTCTGCCCTCAGCAGAGTGGCCTCCCCAGGGGACCTAGCAATGTGCATCCCCCATGAGTTTGCCATATCCTTCCCAGCTCCTTTTCCTGCCTCCAGATGCCTGGCTTGGCTGGACCCAGAATATTCCTCACCATGGTCATGTAGGTGGCCTCTGACTTCCCACTTGATTCTTCATCAGTCACCTCTTGCATGGTTATTGAGGAGTAGATATGTTTCTAGAGGGGAGAAAATCATGTAAATATTCCTAAAACTCAACAAGTCTTACACGCCAGAGAAAAGGTTATCTACCACTCTTCAAGGGGACAGGGGTTCTCGAGGGTATCAACCACAAAAATCAGTAGGTCAGAGGGTTACTAAGAGCTAGAGAATTATCATAGGTCACGATAATCCAGTCCTCAGACTTCCTGGAAATTAAGAAAATTAGCTCATCAGCAAAGAGCACTATCTTAAGAACCAAATTCTTTGGTTCAAAAGTCAAACATCTGGGACTTCACTGGCGGTCCAGTGGTTAAGACTGCACGCTCCTAATGCAGGGGGCACGGGTTCGCTCCCTGGTCAGGGAACTAAGATCCCACGTGCTGCATGCCGTGGCCAAAAAAAAAAAAATCAAACATCTTTGTTTGGATGGGCATTGAGGTAGCAGCAGAAAATTCTTATCTTGCCAAATTATTTGTACTTTGTGATTATTTCCTCCTAATTAGAGTCATGGCAGGATGGCATTCATCAGCAGCTAACTGTCATCATCTCTTCCAGAGGGCTTATATGCCAGCAACAGCCCTCACTGAACTTCACATCTGTGAGGTCAGAGGTAATTTGTGATTCCCATTCCTGTCACTATTTGGAGAAGTGATATCATCCACTGACAAAGTCTTGGACTTCTGGAGTCCCCTGCACTATGTTGTGAGAAAACCCTACTCTTGGGTCACAAACAGCCCAAAAGATGGAAAGGTAAATATGATAAGAGGAGTTTTTCAAAGGAAAGAAAGAGAGAGAGAGAGAAAGAAAGAGAGAGGGAGGGAGGGAGGGAGGGAGGGAAGAAGGAAGGAAGGAAGGGGGGAAGAAAGGAGGGAGGGAGGGGGAAAAAGGGAAGGAGGAGGGAAGAAAAGAAAGAACAAAAGGGGAAAAAAAGAGTTCAAGGAAACTAATCCATTTCTCAGTCCCTGGTAGCAATTATTTATCACAACTAATATGGTTGAAAAAGTTCTAGATCCTCTCTTTCTAAAGGTTCCCGAATATTTAATCTGAACAATTAACTCCTTCACTTAACTCTGGAATGGATCGTAATCATCCTTTATATTGATACCGTGCCTCATAGATTACAAAGCACTTGCCTATCATCATGTTATTTGAACCTTACAACGGGGCAAATATGTTTGTCCTTAAACTCATTTTACTGATGAGAAAACTGAGGCTCAGGGAGGTGGCAGAGCTGGGCTTGAACTGGGACTTTCCCAGGGCCCTCCAAGGGGCCTGAACTGGGCTGCTGGGCTGGCCCTGTCCGCCCCACGCCACTCACTCTCCCAGGGACTCATTGCAGTGATGGAGATTTCCTGAGCCGCTGCTCTGTGCCAGGCACTGGATGCGCTGAGACATAACGATGAGTGAGACACAGTTCACACCACCTGGATCCTGGAGCAGCCTCCACCTTGCCCTCACTGAGCACAGCAGCAAAATGGCAGAGTTCTTCTCTTACCTCTGGATTTGCCTTCTTTGTGTTCTCCAGGTTTTTGACCAAGCTCGTGGAAGTTACTGAACTGCAAAGGCATGAAAAGCATGTGGAATTACCCAACCAGCACTGTATATCCAAGGGTGACAACATGAGACCACACAGAGTTTTATGAAGAGAGAGACCCCAGGTTAGGAACTACTCCCAGACACCTACAGCCCACACTACCCAGCTCCGCTTGAGATCTGAGAGATGCATGTCTTTCACCGAGAGCAGAAAGGCATCTGGAGATAGTTTAGGCTGAACGACAGCTTCAACCTCTCTATTGTCACACTAACAAGTTTTCTGCCCATAACAATTTTAAGTGAATTAATAGAGAGGGGCCATGGGATTCGATTTTAACATTTCCGAGGACTGGGGAGATGGAGCTGAGCCAGCAGGGAGCAGCAGAAGCTCAGCGAGACACGGGTTCAAAGGCTTCCAGCTTCTTTCTTCCAGGGAGGAGGCCAAGCAGAATTATCCCCTCAAACACCCAGGGCTGGGAGCTCCGGCCCCTTCCCTGCCCTTGGCCTTTGATCGCTCGACCATCTGTCTTCTGCATTTGCCACTAAATAGGCTTCCTTTTTTTCCTATTTTGGCCTAAGATGGAGCGAAAAAAGAAAAATAACAACAACAACCAGGGTTAAAGCTAGAAAGGAATGTATATATATTTTTTTGTCTCAGAGTAGAAATATTTTAATCATATTTTCTGATTATAAAGTTGTATGCTCTGATTGTAAAATAACTCAAATAATACAGAAATGTAGACAGTCTGAAGTTGAAGCTCCAAACCCCCTACCCTCCTAGGACCCACGTTTTCTTTTATCCCAAATAGCACTATTAATATTTTAGAATTATCCTTCCAAACCTCTCTCAATGCAAGCATAAGTATACTCACACGAAATATATTTAGTATATATGCTGCTGAAGAGAGAATTACATAATATGCTTTTTGATTAAAATGAGATCATACTATATATTGTATAATACTACTCCTCGGACATCTTTCTCCATCATTACATACAGAGCCATGCGGTATTTCATTGAATGGAATACCAATTCATTGAATCATTACCTTTCTGACAGGCACTGAGAATTATTTCAGTTTTTTTTTTTTTTTTTTTTTTTTACGATACGTGTGCCTCTCACTGTTGTGGCCTCTCCCGTTGCGGAGCACAGGCTCCGGTCCCGCAGGCTCAGCGGCCATGGCTCACGGGCCCAGCCGCTTCGCGGCATGTGGGATCTTCCCGGACCGGGGCATGAACCCGTGTCCCCTGCATTGGCAGGCGGACTCTCAACCACTGTGCCACCAGGGAAGCCCTGATTTCAGTTTTTAATTATAATCTTTGCTACAGCAACCACGTTTATGCACAAGTCTCGGCACATCCGTCCGACTATTTCTTTAGAATAAACTAGTAGACAGACATGGGAATGCTGCTCTTCATTTTGAGGGAAACTGAGGCCCAGAGCAGGGAAGTGAGCTGATAGGGAAAGCCAGGTTGTCTAACTCTCGGTTCAGTGCTGTCCACATGCCCAAAGCAAAGACCTTCAAGTTCAAAACCAAGTCAGAGAGCCCCTGGGGAGTCAAGTGCAAACCTAGCAGGCAGCAGAAGTTTCTGGGTAATACATGTCCCATGGGGAAAGGAGTCCCAAAAGTGAGCACTACTCAGTCTTAATGGGGGTTCTTGCCCATTGACACTATTTCAAAAAGAGAGTCAATTTGCCCTAGCAACATAGTTCATCCATAGTTGGATAAACGGAAGGATATGAGCCTGCCAACAGCCGGTGAAACACCAGTGCCCGTGCCCAGAGCATCGGTGCATTTCTGAGGTACTGGTAGAATTTCAAGCCTTTAAAAACACATTTCAACAATAAATAATTTAGGACCTGAGGCCATTCATTCAAAAGTAGCTTCTCATAATTAAAATGTGGTCCTTCAGACAAAGCCACTGACAACCCTCAAAGTCTGAGCTTCTCTACGAAGTACATACATACTGTGGGCAATTCAAAAATCGTTTCGGGCATTGAATAGCACCATTACGGCTCTTGCATAAGATTTACACTCTTAATTGTGCTCTACTTGGACCAACATTTGTAAGTCTGTGTAATCTTTGTAAAATGAGGATGGTGTGGGAATGTGCAAGGCCTTTCAGGATAACAGTGAGCAAAGCGGGGGGGGGGGTCACTATACGATGACGTCTGATGTGGTAACCACAGATGATTCTGGTTTAAAACACCCCCTTCTGTGAAAATGGCACACTTAGAGCCTTATCACTCTCTTCCACTTCAGGCTAGACGCATCTCCAGCCCCCCAGCCCAAGAGATGGGAGCAGCCCTGTACCTCGTATTCCCATAGGTCCTCTTCACAATCAATATCAGAACCGGAAGCAGCAGGATAGTGGCGCAGATAACTCCCACAATGATCACCAGCTGATTACCGCCCAGGATCTCAGGTCTGAGGGTTACTGAGGTCACCAATGCTTGGGGAAGGAGACAAGTAATGACAGGGCCTCAATAATCCAGAAAAGAGCTGGGAGCCTCACCAGTTCTAGACCAAGTAGCAACAGCCACGTCAGAAGTGGGAGGAGAAGGTCAGACTCCACTCCATGTTGAAACACTAGGACTCCAGCTGTCCCCATTAGATTGAGAACCAAAGTCCGCTGACACACACACACCCCCGCCCCCGCTTACCATTAAAATGTAGACTAAGGTCGGTGGGAAAAGAGAATATCACCTCACCTACAGTAGAGTTTCCTTTCACGTTAATAATTCTGTCTTAAAATGTGGTTTACCAAATGACAGAAATAACAGACATGTTAGAGCCTGCTCTACAACACTCAGCCCCATAGTCATGATACAAAGTAAAGCACTTCCACCCTTATGGCGCCCTTCACTCATTTCTTCAGTTCACTCTGAACATACACATCAAAACCTCCTGGGTGCCAGATATCACTAGGCACAGAAGATACAAAGACAAATAGTGCGTGGTCTCTGCCTTCAAGGAGAGAGACAATGTAAACAGAAAACCACAGACTGCTTATAGATGCTTTGAGAGCTGTCCATATAGAGTACAGAGCAGCATAGAGAAAAGGGTACCCAATTCTATGGGAGCAGAACCTGAGAATTTGTCAGCAAAAGTTTAAGAGTTTAAGTTGAGTCTTAAAGGAAACATCAAGGTTTTTTTGGAAAACAGTATGGGGAAGGATGGTAGGGACCTTATACCCAAGGTCTGGAGCTCTTAGGTGCTTTTTTTGTTTGTTTGTTTTGTGGTACGCGGGCCTCTCACTGTTGTGGCCTCTCCCGTTGCGGAGCAACAGGCTCCGGACGCGCAGGCTCAGCGGCCATGGCTCGCGGGCCCAGCTGCTCCGTGGCATGTGGGATCTTCCCGGATCGGGGCACGAACCCGTGCCCCCTGCGTCGGCAGGCGGACTCTCAACCACTGTGCCACCAGGGAGGCCCTCTTAGGTGCTTTTAGGTGACAGGATGGTGCTTTTAGAAACTAGCAAGAGTTCCATGGGTCTGGTTCAAAGGTTGTGTTTGTCAGTGTGGTGGGGAATGAGGCTGGATGAATAACAGGAGCTAAGTCATGCAGGACCTTGATTATCTCAATGAGGAGTTTGGATTTTTTTCCTTGGCGATGGAGAAGACATTGAGAGATTATAAGCAGTGGAGATTTGTTACTGAGAAAGATGGCACTCAGAGCTGCATGAAGAATGAGGGGTAGTGACTGAGAATGAAAGCAGAGACTTGTTAGAGGCCTACAGTCCAAGACGGGGATGAGACAGCCAGAATAAGGCGGTGGTGACAGATGGGAGAGGAGGCAGATCCAGTCAGTAGTAGACAGCCATAAAAAGGAACGAAACTGAATTATCTGTAATGAGGTGGATGGACCTAGAGTCTGTCATACAGAGTGAAGTAAGTCAGAAAGAGAAAAAGCAAATACGGGTTGCTAACGCACATATATGGAATCTAAAAAAAAAGGTATGATGAACCTAGCGGCAGGGCAGAAATAAAGACGCAGACATAGGGAACAGATTTGAAGACACCGTGGAGGAAGGGGAAGCTGAGATGAAGTGAGAGAGTAGCATCAACATATATACACTACCAAATGTAAAATGCGTGGCTAGTGGGAAGCTGCTGCATAGCACAGGGAGATCAGCTCAATGCTTTGTGACGACCTAGAGGGGTGGGATAGGGAGGGTGGGAGGGAGGATCAAGAGGGAGGGGATATGCGGATATATGTATACACATAGCTGATTCAATTTGTTGTACAGCAGAAACTAACGCAACATTGTAAAGCAGTTATACTCCAATAAAGATATATATATTTTTAAAGTCAGTAGTAGAAATGACAGGACTTGTCAACTTGTTAGACTGGGGGTCGTGGGAAAGGGAAGAATCAAGTACAGCTCCCAGGCATCCAGTTGGATAACTGTGTAGATGGTGGTGACATTAACTGAGGTTGAAGAGATGGGCTGGGGAGAGGTGAGAGGGGTAGGTTTGGATATGTTGTATTTGAGTATTTGTGGAATATTTGGGTGGAGCTCATATAATACATAGAGATAGATAGATAGATAGGCAGACAGATAAAGTTGTATCTAACATAGAATATATTGAATGTATATAGAACATGGTGTTCAATACTACTGAGGTAGAGAAGGTCAAGGACGTGCCTTTAGAGTACCATTGGTGATCTATGCTAGAGCAGAGGTAGAAGCAGAAGACTGAATGCAGTGTGCTATCAATTAATGGGAGATGAGATAGGAGACACCATGTCCAGCCCTTTAGCAAGCTATCTGGCTGTGTAAAGAAAGAAATACATAATGTACTGTGGGGAAGGTTGCACAACTCGGAATCTACAAAAAACCATCAAGTGTACACTTTAAATGGGTAAATTGTAAGGTATGTGGGTTGTATCTCAATAAAGCTGTTTCAAGAAAAATAAAGATATAGGATGAGAGCTAAAGGAGACAAGGACATAGGTAAGAGGAAGAGTGGAGTGTATGTTTGTGCTGAGTGGTAGAAGCCCTTGGAAAGTATGGGCTTAAAGAGCCATGCTGTGAGGATCCTGAGAAGGAAGAGAGAGCACCACCCGAGCACAGGGGCTCAGATAAGCCCTGGGTGGAAGGGAGCTCAGGATGGCAGGGCAGGGAGGACGATGGGAGTGGATGTAGGTCCGTTTGTGGGTGGGGAGGGCTCCAAGGTTGAATGAGCTCCTGTTAATGGCTTCTATTTTCTCTGTGAAGTGGAGCTAAGACTTCTGAGAGTGAAGAAAGCCATCTGTCTTCTTCCCTCTCCAGCTGGGATCCTTTGCTATTGGCAAGAAGGCGCCTCCATAGACTTAGGTCTCTGGCCAGAGGTACTGGGGTGTGTTGCACCCTCACCTCTATCCCTGCCCCCAACCAACCACAGCCCAGCCCTGGGTCCCTAGCAAAAGGCAAAGTCCACAGGCCACATCCTGACTGCTAACTGGTTTATGGTTTAACTTGAACTCCTCACTTATCAACCTCTATCAGTCAACACAATTTCGTCTTTACTCTCCTACACACCAATGGCCTTAATACACAGTGTTTTGCCAGAATACAGAATCTTTGATCAGGAAACCCCTCTATTGTTGGTTCTGACCCCTTCCTGTTTTCTCTCTGTTCTTTGCTGTCTCTCACCAGCTCGGGACCATCTTCCTTTCCACTACAGAGCACAGAGCATCTCCCTTGAAGCCAAGTCAAAACAACTCCAATCCATCTCTGAGCTCCTGTACTTTTAACTTAGTATATTACACTAATGATGAGTGAGGTCCGGCAGAGGGGTGGTGTTCACTCAATATGAGCTTTTTTTTCCTTGACCTGCCAGCAGGGAAGAACTAGGGTGAGGCAAGTAAGGTGCATAGGGCACCAAATTTAAGGAGGTCTCACTCTCAAGGTCATGCAAGTACAGGGTACAAGTGCTTGATAAGTGCTGGGCTTATCAGGTTCAGGCAAGTACAGCACCTGGGAGTGATGCCTCCTTAAATTTTGCACCCTAGAAGCCTCTCCAGCCTCACCCTAGTCCTGGCCCTGCCTACCAGCTATGAGGCTCCTCCTCCCTCTCCAACCAAATGTTAGATACTTCGAGGCTCCTTCAGGATCACGTGCAGCACAGTGGTTTTCCTGACTGTCAGGTTCCCCAGGTGGATACTGCAGGTGTAGCTTCCTCCATCAGACTCCTTCACTCTGTGGAGCACAATGGAGCCATCGTTGTGGGAAGTGTCCCCCACCAGGTTTACACGGTTCTGGAAGCGGCCCCAGTTCTGGGGGTATCCCATGGCTGCCTTGAGTTTGGGGTAATAGCGCAACACAATCTCTTCCTAGAAGGGAAAGGCAAAACGTATGAGATTGAAGGGCTGGGGTAGAGGGGCGCCGGGAAGGTTGAGGGGGGGGGCTATCAGGACTCACAGACTCTGTGTGTGGAAACAGTAAAGGTATTATCAGAAGGTATTAAGTAACACAAATCCATGGACACACGTGTCTGCGGGCACATAGTTGTGCAGGATGCCACCAAACCACAAACAACTCTTCCATCTCAAGAGAGGGATGAGGAAAGTGGGAATGAGGGACTTTCAGGTTTTTGCACTTCTCCAGTAAAAAAAGTAAAAGTACTCCTTTACTTTTTATGACATATCCAGTTGGATTTCCAATAGGCACCTGAAACATGTCTAAAACTGAACTCCAAAATTCTCCCCCAAACCAGTTCCTTCTTATCCATCCCATTTTGGTAAATGGCAACGTCTTCTTCCTTAAGCTCTGGTTAAGAATCTTGCAGTCATCCTTAACTCCTCTATTTCTTGAACAACTCACATCTAATCCCACAACAAATCCTCTACCCTCGAAATACATCCCAAATCTAGCCACTTCTCACCTTTTCCACAGTCTGGTCCAAGCCACCATCTCTCACCTGGATTTCTACAAGAGCTTCTCAACTTGTATCCCTCTATACTCCCCACTACAGTCTATTCTCAGCAGATGAACCTTTAGAAATATAAGTTAAATCGTATCACTCCTCTGCTCAAAACCCTCTAAGAGCCCTCCATTTCTCCTAAAAGTAGAAAGTCCTCCATGAGCTGCCCCACCCCCATCTCCTCTCTGATTTCATCTTCTACTGGCTTTTTCCTCACCTACTTGGGTCACTTCACTCCAACCACACCAGTCTCCTTGCTGCTCCTTGAGTACTGGCCTCAGGGCCTTTGCACTTGCTGCTTCCTTTGCCTGGAACAGTCTTCCCCCCTAGACAGATGCACGGTTGCCTCCTTCACTTCCTTGAGACCTCTGCTCAAATGTTACCTTTTTGGTGAGGTCTCCCTGACCACCTACATAAAATAACAACCACAAAACCCTGCTTTCTTGTTCTCCATAGCTCTTACTATTACCTGACATATCATGTATTTATTTCTTCATTGTTTTACTATGTATATCCCTCCATCTTTTTTTTTAACATCTTTATTGGAGTATAATTGCTTTACAGTGGTATGTTAGTTTCTGCTTCATAGCAAAGTGAATCATCTATACATATACATATATCCCCATATCTCCTCCCTCTTGTGTCTCCCTCCCACCCCTCTAGGTGGTCACAAAGCACCGAGCTGATCTTCCTGTGCTATGTGGCTGCTTCCCACTAGCTACCTATTTTACATTTGGTAGTGTATATATGTCCATGCCACTCTCTCACTTTGTCCCAGCTTACCCTTCCCCCTGCCCGTGTCCTCAAGTCCATTCTCTATGTCTGCGTCTTTATTCCTGTCCTGCCCCTAGGTTCTGTCCCTCCATCTTGATTGTAAGTCCCCCATCAGGGCAGGAGCTTTGAGTATTCACTGCATAGCAGATGCTTTAAAAACACTTGTTAAATAAATGTGTTGGAGTTTTTTATAAAGTTATATAAATATTATTATTTTTTAAAAGCTTTTAAGAAAAGGAAATGGGCATACAAACAGAAACATGAATGAAAAGACCTGGCTTGTCTCTTGTGATTCAAATTCACAACCCAAAACGTCAACTCTCATCCTAATTTCTGCAGTGTCTCAATTGGTGGATGACATATAAATGCATGACGAGTTCCCAGAGGTGAATCTGGAACTACATGTAATTCCCCAGACCCCACCATGATGCCACCATTTCTTTTTTTTTTTTTTTGAATTTTTGAATTTTATTTTATTTATTTTTTATACGGCACGTTCTTATTAGTTATGTATTTTATACATATTAGTGTATACATGTCAATTCCAAACTCCCAATTCATCCCACCACCACCCCCCACCACTTTCCCCCTTGGTGTCCATACGTTTGTTCTCTACATCTGGATGCCACCATTTCTGACCCACTCAGCATATAGGAATCAAGTGAGTATAAATGACTTTTTGTAGGGATGACCTGGAATATGTCTTCATTTATAAAAGTTAAATCTTTTCTAAACTTTGTATCTTAACTTTTATTAACAATAAGTTACCTGAGATATCTCTTACAACACACCTTGACTCATCAGGATATCACCATGCCATAGTTGACATCTACTGGTCTAATGAACTAACTTGCTGTTTACTACTTCAGAGTTCCCATGAAGTACTCCTCAACCTGGCCCCCAGGACCTACTAATCCCAACATTCGAAGCATCCATGAAGATAAAGAAAATTCCCTCCATCACATAAATGGGGCAATGGGGCACAGAAGAAAACTCACAAAAATAACCCAAATAAGAATAAGACGGCTTCCCTGGTGGTGCAGTGGTTAAGAATCCGCCTGCCATTGCAGAGGACACGGGTTTGAGCCCTGGTCCGGGGAGATCCCACATGCCGCAGAGCAACTAAGCCCGTGTGCCACAACTACTGAGCCCGTGTGCCACAACTACTGAAGCCCGCGCGCCACAACTACTGAAGCCTGTGTGCCTAGAGCCCGTGCTCAGCAACAAGAGAAGCCACCTCGGTGAGAAGCCCGCACACCGCAACAAAGAGTAGCCCCCGCTCGCTGCAATTAGAGAAAACCCACGCGCAGCAATGAAGACCCAGAGCAGCCAAAAATAAATTAAATAAATAATTTTTTTTAAAAAAAGAATAAGAATGCAAAATGGTATAGACGATCTTATTTGCAAAGCAGAAATAGAGACACAGATGTAGAGAACAAACGCATGGATACCAAGGGGGAAGGGGGAATGGGATGAACTGGGAGATTGGGATTGACATATATACACTATTGATACTACGTATAAAATAGATAACTAATGAGAACCTACTGTATAGCACAGGAACTCAATGCTCTGTGGTGACCTAAATGGGAAGGAAATCCCAAAAAGAGGGGATATATGTATACATATAGCTGATTTACTTTGCTGTACAGTAGAAACTAACACAACATTGTAAAGCAACTATACTCCAATAAAAATTAATTAAAAATAAAAATCAAAAACATTTTTTTAATTTTAAAAAAAGAATACGAATGCAATTGTGCTTATGCCTAGCCCATTGCCTTCCTGGCTAGGCCACCAAAATCATCCCCCTTGCTATCCCATGGACTCTACGAAAAGGGGAAGGGAGAAGAGGAATTAAACTAAAATGCACTGGCCAAGTCATGTACAAATGTGTTACACCAGCCATCTCCTATATGCGGCCTGACAACCTGAAAAGCTGAGCAGCAGCAGCATCTACTTCTTCTTCTTCATCATCTTCATTAGAGTCCTTTTTCCCAACCGGAAGCTGAAATTGCCCAGCCAAGTGGCTGAGCTGAGAGGCCCAGCTTTGCCAAGGTCCAAAGCCCAAGCCCTCACAACACCACCACATGGCACCTGGTGCCTGGATTCTTGATCTCCCCGCTCTGTCCTGACAGCATTGGCCAGGGGCTTCTTATACACAATGAGGGTTTCTCCTCCTTACCTTGGTGCGCTCTCCTGATGAGAACATCCAGTCTACCCTGGTCATGTGTTTCTCTTCTGTGCTGTGGAAAACACATCCCATCTGAGTCGAATCACCCACATGAGCCATGAGCTCTGGGGATAAAATGATAAATCAAGTCAAACTCAAGGTATAATCTATAGAAGCCAAAGAACTTCTAGAAGAGATAATATTTAGCCAAAGATCCTCAACAGTAAAATCAATGTCACCACCAAACACTGCACACTTTCCCTCCACAGGTGATCCAGATTATTCTGTGTGGTCAAAGTACTCAGAGGTCTCTCACTCAAATCCACGCAATACCCCAAGGATAAGACAATACCCTCTAGCTACCAACATTGGGGTCCCACTAACTTCAGTAAACACTTTCTGGTTCTCTTAATTCCTTTCTCCTTCTCCTTTTCTAGAACCTCTCCCACAAGCCCCAACTCCACTTCAAGCTTGTGATAAAGAAAGTACAGAAAACCTTGAAGCCCCCCACTTTCTGTTCACCAACTTAGATACCCACATCTGCTTAACATAAACAGGAAGTGGAAAGTTCTATAACTCTCATTCTTATAAATAATCCACTGGCTCTCCTAGCTGAAAAACTGAATCACGGGTAACTCTCTTCAACTTCTTTTATTCTTCTACAAGTTGTCTTAGGACTTGCTTAGGACAATTCTGGCTAGAGTACAGGTCACAGGACTGCTTGCTAATTAGGCCAAGACAACAGACAGTTTTCCTCTTGGCTTTTCTTTCTGTTTTAATCCCTGCCCCCACTTCCCCATCTGCTCCCCCTTCCCCTGCTCCTGGCTTTCCAACAAATAGTCTCTTCCTCCTGCTCATTTGTATAAGCAGCTGACCCCATCATATGTTTACTGCTTTAGTCATTTCAACAAGTCCCTGAAAAAGAAAACAATTGGAAAGATGCTTCTGATTTTTCAATAGTGCTCTATACAAATTGACCACAAAGTCAATTAAGAAAAGAAAGGCAGGATGATATTTAAGGGAGACACAAGCCTAGGTCTTAACTGGACAGAGTTCCTTCAAGAGAGCATTAAGCGGAGCTCATAAAGGAACACAGTACATCAGCTAACCTTTTCATCCAAATTGTGTCCCTGGGAGAACGTTAACTTCCCACCCAGGAGGAAAGACGCACAATGGGAGGAAAGCAAAAGAAAATATTATGAACTCAAAACTCTATGGAGGGAATTATTTTGGAAGTAATAAAAATGCACTGCAAAGAATACCAATAGGGAAGGAAACACCCTCTAAATCTATGAGTATATTAAGAATTGAACCCTGTTTTTTAAATGCAATAATAAGAACTGAACATTCTGAGTTCCTTCAACACACCAGGCATGTGCTAGACACGTAGGATATCACCTAGTCATTACAATATTTTGAGATATGCACTATTACTCTCCCATTTCACAGAGGAAGAAAGTGAAAGAGCCCAGAGCTTCATGGCCAGTAAAAGGCAGAGCCAGCACTCAAACCCAGGCCTGAGTGAAAACAAATCCCACGCTTTCTCACTCCCTTTACTGTTACCACCTCACATAAGTGGAAGGATGGCTGATTCTAGAGCAAAAATATGGGAAGTTAATATTATTTTTATTTGTAAGAAAATTGTCTATACCACTGAAATTTTGTTTTCCAAATATTAGGAACTTTCTCTAAATTAGGATATAAAGCATTGTTAGGTGTGATTCCAAAACATGGGCTTTTAATTATTTCATTAGATTGCCTCCCTTCTAGAATCATAGACCTTTATAAATTGAAAAGAGATTAGAATAGAATAAAAATAATAGAGTAATGAAGTTAGGGATCCAGAGGCCACCTAAAGCTCACATACTATACGACCTACCATGTGCACGAATCCCTTCAATAAGAATATTTTCTCTCCTTGAACAACATATTTTCCAAAATGTTAAACCAAACTCAAAACATTGTTCAAGCAATTCATCTGATATGAAAACTTTAATTCAATTTTGAATCTTAAAAATGAAGATCATCTGACTGAAATTATATGCACAAGTTTGAATAAAAATTGCTTTTTGTTCTCTTTATACTTTTCATCAACTATTATACAATATATCTATACAGTATAAGTATATAATCTGAGGACACACACATTCAGATGCCTTAAAATCCTTTCACAGAATAAAATGGAAGCAAATTCCTAAGAAAGAAAGAAAGGGAAAGAAAGAAAAAAGAAAATTGTCTATAGTGTTTAAAATAAGAACTACGAATAAAAGAGTTGAAGTAGTAGAAACACAGAAAAATTACAAACTGAAGGATAAACTTTGTGGAAGAAATCTAGATGAGTTTTCACATGGAAGGAGATGGCCACCAGGCAAATGGTCAGGAGTTAGAGCTATTCCCACGCCGGCTGGAAAGGAAAAGTAAATACAAATTGCTCCACTGGCTACTGGGAAATCTGACTACCCCTAAAATTGCTCTAGCCTGCTCCCATGGACTCAGTTCTTAAAACTGCCTCCTTTGGGCTCCTTCCCTCTGTGTCTCTTCTAAGCAGGAATAGGCACCCGTTTTGTAGGACATGCTTGTAGTCCTCAGGCCCAGCATCAGAGAACAAAGTAGAAAGGGGTAACTCAAAGATAATCCTTGGGGGACACAGACAGTTGGTTCATTTCTTCTTCCTGGAGAGCCATAGATTTAAAATCGAAAGAAAAATGCAATTGAAAAAAGTAGGAAAAATTAGGAGAGAGGCCAGAGGCCACCTTCTACAATTCCTTCTACCCTTCCATTTTTTAGAAGTCAGATTCAAGTGAGGGATGCTAATTTAAGAATTTCCTTCATTTGACAAATGTTTACTGAATGCTTACTCTATGCCAGGCATTGTGTCTAGGGCTGGTCATGGGACAAAGAACACAGATCCAGGTGAGCAGGGGAGACACAACTGAACAGGTGTGTTGAATATCACCAGAGACGGGGACAGGGTGCTCCAAAGGAGCTCATTGAAAGAATGGACCTAAACTAGCTGGCAGGAAGCGGGGCGTCCAGATTCTAGTTCACTCACTAAACAGCAAGCTCTCCTGAGGCCAAAGACTGTTCCTTCTATCTCACACTTCTAAAGAATGTATTTAATTCTGTGGTTTTCAAACTTTTTTTTTTTTTTTTTTGGTTTTCAAACTTTTTAAAGCAGCAGAATTCTTTCTTCAAACGAAATCTTATCTGGCAGCCCAATGAATATAACAGGAAAAAGGAAAAGGACTTTGGTTGTAGTGGAGGTGGAAGCCTGAGGTCCTGCCCAACTAGATCCTTTATCAATCCCCTGCCCTGTTCTCATGCTTTGTGTGGCCCACCAGGTTCCTTGGACCTTGAGTGTTCTATAGAACATGTTTTTTAAAACCAACAATCTACTGAAGCCATTTATAAATGGGAACATAAGGTCCTACGAAGTTAGAGAGATCTGCTCATTTCTTTTATATCCCCCAGAACACCTAACATAGTCACCTACAAAATATGGACACAGCATCAACATGGATAACTGATGGGAAGCATCAGGGTATAGTGAAAAAAAAACATGGACTTTGTTGACAGAGGTACCAGGGTCCAAGTACTGGATATGCCATTTAATAAATATATGTCCTTAGGCAAGTCACTTAATCTCTCTAAGCCTCAGTTAACTCATCTGTAAAATGAAAAGAATACAGTTCTTCCTTCACAGCTTTTTCATGAGGTTGAAACATGATAAAGTAATAATAAAATAATGATCATCATTATTTTTATTTTATTGAGGACTCACTCCATGGTAAGTACATAGCACAATGGCTGTCACTTGCTCAACAAAATCAGTTCGCTTCCCTCACCGCACACCAAATCTCTTGCCCCTTCGCCCTTCTCTGAGTAAGCATTTATGTACCTTTGGGCTCCTCTGGTAGTACATGCAGGACCACTGCTTTTTTGAACACCAGGCTCTCCATGTTGAAGCGGATTTCACAGGTATAGTTTCCCTGGTCAGCCTCTTCCACATTTTGCAGCAGGAGAGAACCGTCATGGTGTAAGATGTCCCCCACCAAGCTCACACGATTCTGGAAACGCCCCACAGGCACACTGATGTTGGCATAATAGAAGAGCACGTAATCATCCTGGAGGGCAATACAACATCAGAGAAAATGTGAAGTCCATGGCACCAGACCCAGGAGTCTGGATTCAAAAGCCCCTGTTCTGTGGAGGCAGCATAGTCATCATCACCACTGTGATCAAAAAGTACTTGGGGGCTTGCCTGGTGGCGCAGTGGTTGAGAGTCCGCCTGCCGATGCAGGGGACATGGGTTCGTGCCCCGGTCCGGGAAGATCCCACATGCCGCAGAGCGGCTGGGCCCGTGAGCCATGGCCGCTGAGCCTGCGCGTCCGGAGCCTGTGCTCCACAACGGGAGAGGCCACAACAGTGAGAGGCCCGCGTACCACAAAAAAAAAAAAAAAAAATAGTACTTGGTACCCAATTCATCATCAACATCATCATCATTGTCATCACCATCATCGTGTGCCTGGCAATACACTAACTTGCACAAGGCTCTGTGGCTCATTTTACACAAAGACAATTGGAGAAACAGGGTCAACACATTTCCATTTCTTACAGTTTAAGGTAAAATGTAACACCCACTCTGAAGATCACTCTGGGGATTCAAACTCACAACTTTTGAAAAGCATCTCCCATCTTCACCCTGTGTTCTGCCATGGCCTCCGCATTCGATGGCATCCAAATGTAATCCCACAGACAGGCTGTTGTGAGAATCCCCAGCATGTTGGCTGTTACCGCTGTCCTTTCTGCCCTCCTCCAGGCAGCTTATCATAAGGCATGAGAAGGAGTCATCAACAGGGAATGGTTTACAGACTGGGAGGGGGAGCCACTTAGACCATGGGTATTTCCCTCTTATAACAATAAATAGTAATAAAAATTTGAGTGACAGTAGCATGATAGGGATAACATGCTCTGAGCTACAAAAGCGATATTTCATTTGCAAACATTGGGACTTTATTGTCAATAATATATTACTTAGGACATATTTTGCAAATGATCCTGACATACAAGTGTCTCCACAGAATCTCAGGTGAGGCTTAATACACTCTGTTTCCTAATCCAAAGAGCTCCCATGAAAGGCCTTCACTCAGCCATGCTGAATCTGCTAATGCCAACACTTCAAGCAGCCATGAAGGAGAAAGAGATGATTCCCCAGCACATAAATGGGTCAGTGGAGGCTGAAAGAATCTGCCCCCTCCCCAAAGAAAAGATTCCTGTGATACCATTCCTGTGCCTAGCCCATAACTCTTTTTGTCTAGACCAATGAGTTTTCACTCTTCTCACCCTCCCACCCACCTATGCTACTCTACAAATGGGAGAAATAGAGGAAAGGAACTAAAGAACTTTATGTGCATGTCTCCCATTAGCTTCTCAAGGTCCTGAAAAGTAAGCATTACCATTATTATAATCACCTACATCTTCACAGATGGGGAAGTTGAATGTCAGAGAGTTTGAGCCATTTACCCAGCTGATTACACAGCCAAGAGGCCAGGAGGAGGCTCAGTTCTGGCAAGCTCCAGAGCCCAAGCTCCTGCAACCCCGTCTCATGGCACTGGATGACCTGATTCTCCCTCTCCCCACATTCTGACACCATTGGCCAGGGACTTTTAATACACAGCAGTGTTTCCTCCTTCTTACCTTGAAGTGCTCTCCTGATGAGAACATCCAGTCTACCTTGGTCACAAGTTTCTCTTCTGTGCCCTGGAAAATACATCCCAACAGGGCTGAATCACCCATGTGGACTGTTAGCTCCACGGAGGAAACAATCAAGTCATTCAGGCCCAAGAAATAACCTACAGAAGTGGAAAAGGCAAGAGGAGGCATCATTCAGACAAATACATTCAGCAACAAAAACTAGTATTAATCTCCAAGTGTATGCACCTTTCCACCCCAGATGACCCAACGTGGACAAAGCATTCAGAGGCCCTTCATTCCAACCAGCATGGCATTCCCAAGGGTAAGAGAAATACTCTGTAGTTCCCCCCACATAGCTCAAGTCAGAGGGGTTCTACAATCTTCATGCTATATAGATGCTAACTGGTCCCGTGCTCCTAGCCAGTCCCTTCCCTTTTTCTAGGATTCATCCCTGCAATCTCCTTTCTAAAGAAAGAAGAGAAGGAATTCCCTGGTGGTCCAGTGGTGAGGACTCTGCGCTTTCACTGCCAAGGGAGCAGGTTCGATCCCTGGTCGGGGAACTAAGATCCTGCAAGCGGTGTGGCATGGCCAGAGAAACAAAACAAAAAGAAAACAAGAAGAAAAGAGAAGAGAAACCCTGAAGTCTCTCCTTTCAGGTCATGAATTTAGACATCCATAAACAGGAAATGGGATGTCTCTGGCTCCTAGTTTCAGTTAGGGAACTGAAAAGCCAGTTCACAGGTACTTTTGCTTCCCTCTGCCTTTCTCCTTCTTTAGTTCCTTTACAAAAGCTTATCTCTGAATTTGCTGGCTGATTCTGGCTGTAGTGCAGGTCCTTGTAATTAGGCCAGGACAGAGCACAGCTCCTCCCTTGAATTTCCTTTGTTTGCCTTCTCCCCACCTCCCTCCTCCAGCTCTGCCCTCAGCCCTGGCTTTCCAGTCTCTAGGGTTAGCCCATGCGGTACCCCTCCACTATCTGTCCATTGCTCAAGTAATTTCTCTTTTCCCTTAAAGAAAAAACCATTTCTAAAGAGAAAACCATTACATGGATATCTCTGTTTTCACAGGACATGCTCTATGCAAAGGGATAACCATAGCAAGAAAGACACATTTAGATGCTGGCCAGTTCCTATCAAAGAAGAGCCAAGTGAACGAATTTTGGAGTAAACAGAAAATGTGCCAACCTCTCCATCCAAGCTGCTGCCCCGGGAGAAGAGTGTTAACTTCCTGCCCACAGCAGGCAACACGCAGTGGGGAGGATGTGAAAGAAAACATGAACTCTCCACTCTCTGGAGGGAATTATTTTTTGAAAGAAATCAAAAGTACCTGCAAAAGCGACCTGGAATTTTCCTGTAAGGAAGAACTGAGCAACTTTAAGTGTGGTTAAAGGTATAAGAAGCTTATTTAATGTAATATGAAGAGCACTGTCTGTAGAATTAAATGAGTTTGCTAGAAAGCAAGAGCAACAACCAAAGCAAAGAGAAACTTATACCTGATAGGTAACCTTTGTACAGAAATGGCTGAAGAAATTGAGACTTTCTACAGGGGAGGAAAACCTCTCCAAGAAGTACAATACCCCCTGATGTCACCAGGCCACTCCACACGGGGTTGGATTGTTAAGTCTCTGGATGGAAGGGCAAAAACCTGCAGGCTGCTTCACCCAGGAAATGTCTAAATAGCCTCTGAGATTTTTATAACCCTGATTCCATGGGGAAAAAAATTCTCTAATACATACCAGTTTCATGTGTGTGTGTATGTCTGACTGCATGTTTGTGCACATGCTATGTTGCCTGGAATTAGAGCAAAGACAATTCTTTTGTGCACTTTGCTGAGTCAGTGTTTAGGTCACCATGCAAAGTTTAAAAAACTAATAATAAAGAGAAAAATAGAATAGATAAACAACAAGCTCCTACTGCATATTACAGGGAACTATAGTCAATATCCTGTGATAAACCATAATGGAATATAAAAAAGAATGCATGTATATGTATAACTGAATCTCTTTGCTGTACAGCAGAAATTAACACAACATTGTAAATCAACCATACTTCAACCATACTTTAAAAAGACAAAAAAATAGGGACTTCCCTGATGGCACAGTGGTTAAGACTCCATGCTCCCAATGCAGGGGGCCCGGGTTCAATCCCTGGTCAGGGAACTAGATCCCACATGCATGCCACAACTAAGAGTTCACATGCCACAACTAAGGAGCCCGCCTGCCACAACTAAGACCCAGAGCAACCAAATAATTTTTTAAAGTTTTTTAAAAAAGAGAAAAAAATAAAAAGCTATGAGAGCAAAGCATCTCATTAATTTATTCTTCCAACAGAGCTATATCCATGGGATAAAGAGAAGACAAGGGGACAAAAGGATGAAAAAGTTAGAAAGAGATGGGATTAGCAAGAAGAAGCAGCCCTGAGCACCGTAGGAACAGGAGACTCCAGAGCAGGCTTTTTAAAAGTGGAGCTTAAGGAGAAACCTGAAGGATAAGGAAGGCTTAGGCATGCTTGCTAGGGTGAGGTGGGGAGAGAAGGTTCCAGGCAAAAGAAACCATCCAAAATTGGGAAAGAGCTCAGCGCATTTGAGGAACTGCAAGAAGACTAGTGTAGCTAAAGCACGAAAACAATTACAGGGATTCTGGGACTCCCTTTGGTAATTTCATTTCCTGATCTGAGACTAGCTGTGGTTTTAAAGATAACAATTTAAAGTGCAGGAATACCAGCGAGAAACTCTCTTTGTATCCCATAGGAAGGTCCTAAAACACCCAGTCAGGACCCAAAGGCATTCTGTTTCTAATAGCAGCAGAGGAATATTCAGCTTTCCAAGGAAGAGTCTCCTACCTGGCTTCTAAAACAGCTGTTGAAGCAAAACAGCTGTTTCAACAAAACTGTGAAGTTCCAGGTTGGGGTTTCCATTTTCAACAAAGCAAGGGGAAATGAAAATATATAAAACTGGCTTCTGAACACGCATGAGACTTACAAGAAATCAAATACCCTCCTTGGTCCCTTGGCTTCTACTTACTGAGTAACACCGGCACCAGGATGAGTTTCGGTGGGTAAAACATGCTGCTCTCAATTTTTCAACCTTAAAAGAAAAAAAAAGTCAGAAAATAGTGTCAAGAGAAGTGCATTAATTTAACACATCAATGGAGAGTTCTGTGAGTCAGCCTCTGTCTGAGGCACTGGGCTGCAGCACGTAGCAAGGAAGACAAGGTCCCGGCTGATAGCAGCTTGCACGTGGAGGGGAGATGGAGAGGAAAAAAGCAGCAAATGAATGAATAAGAAACAGTGGATGCTGGTAACTGCTATGATGAAGCAAAACAGAGTGGTGTTTGGAGAGTCACTTGCGGGCTGCCTCAGACTGGCTATAAGGGAAGATTAGATGAAAGTTGCTTTTAAAGAGAAAAAAAGCAAACAATTCCAGGATAGCCTTGAGGTGACAACCCTAGACAATCTACAACCTGAGAGTTTCACATAAACAAAAGATTACAGGATACTCAGCCTGAAATTTTTACCTATCTCTCCAACTAAATTAAAATGACTACCTTTAAATATATAAAGAATGTTCTGGACATGTAAGAAAAGAGATACGCAAATACGAGGACATTTTTTAAACTCAGTTATGACACGAAGAAGCCACATGAAAGGTCCACAGTGAGATTTTTTTTTATATTTTTTTAGGCAGGATAGCATGGATAGAATGCGAATTGGGTTGTGCATGGGCAAAAGTACTTTTAAAACATCTATATTATCTCTGTGGTATTAATTTCACTGCATCCACCAGCTCCTGGGAAAGAATTCACTGTCTGCACAATGCCCTGCAATTTTCTTAACAAAACAGAAGAACCCTAACTCCCAGGAGTTACAATTCAACAAGCCTTGGGTTCCTACCTACTACTGTGGCTGGTCTCCGTCATGATCCCTGCACCCCTAACATCTTGGAGTAATTCCACCTCAGAATATGCTAGGAGGAAAGGTCTTCTTTGTGTATTAACATCATAGTACCCTACCCAGCTCTGCTGGAAGTCCAGCACGTATGGTGGCCATTTTAATGTATAAAAAATGATTACCTAAGAGATTTTGTTTTTTAATAATTTGTCTGTTTGATGTTTGCTGTTTTGTCTGTCTGTCTTTCTTTCTTTCTGGCTGCATTGGGTATTCGTTGCTGTGCACGGGCTTTCTCTAGTCGTGGTGAGCGGGGGCTACTCTTCGTTGCGGTGCGCGGGCTTCTTATTGCGGTGGCTTCTCTTGTTGCGGAGCATGGGCTCTAGGTGTGCAGACTTCAGTAGTTGTGGCGCAGAGGCTCAGTAGTTGTGGTTTGCAGGCTCTACAGCACAGTAAGAGATTTCTTACCTGTATTCTAATCAACAAAGTCCTCCATCTGAAAAATCAGGGTCAAACTGTTTAAGGTGGCCCTACCTAGGTCTCACTTATGCAGAAAGTCCATTGACCTTGCTGAACCTCAGTTTCCTCGCCTATAACATGGGGATAACGACACAAGGATCAAATGTGATAATGCAGATAACAGTGCTTTGAAAAACAGAAAGCATTACCACATGAGATCCTATTTTTATAGCCTAAAAGTCAGATAGGAAACAGAGTTTGTAGCCTTAGAGGAGATTTTGGGTTCTGAGAATCTACCTTTACAAGAACGGCAAATGATGAATCAGAATGAACTGGAAACTTCTTAAGTTTCAGTTCTTGAATTCCACTACAATGTAGATAACAATTACACTGACTCAGATTACCAAAAGTCACATTAAATTTCCCCAAATATGAGTACTTCTAATGAAAATACAAGCTCTCAGGATAGCCACAGCTTTATTCCTGCTGCATGACACATGCCTTACCCTACGCATACATGGGTGAGCATGATAAAGGGCTTCCTTTATATCATAACTTTAATTCATCATATCTCAGATATCTAAGATCCCTGTTGTGTTCTGGATGAATTCTTCTCCAGGGAGTTGGTTGTGCTCCCTTCACTGCCCAGCAAACAGCTCTCATATATTCCCCAAAGCAGTGCGCCATTTGCATGGAGGAGTAATCATTGATTACAGTGTAGAGTTATCTATACTCTCAGGGGCAGGACCATGTGCGTCTCATTTATGAGTGTCCCACGCCCATGTTACAGTATCAGTGAAGTGCCTGGCATATACTGGACAAGTGCTGACAGCTGCCAATACAACCATCAAACTGAAATCAACTTAGACATCGTGCAAATGCACCACTCTCTTCTAAGAGGAAACCGGAGACCCCAAAAAGACTCTGAATCTAGTCACCAACCTCAAGACACACAGAGCCACACCCAAACCATTTTCAAACAAATTCTAAGAAGTGTGCAAAAATCTGATAAATAGAAGATACCCATTTTCAGTCTTAAGTACTCAAGTGCACCACTAGAACTCTGTGTGAATGCATAGAGAAGCAATGATTTAACATAAAAAGCATTAAGTTTTTAAAAAATTATCTTCCTAGATCAGACATTCCATTAACTAATTCTTTGATATTTGGGAAACCACTCAGTCTCCCCAGGCCTCATTTTTAACATTAAAGGGTCAGACTTTTTCCCCCTAGTTAATATAGCACCACACTAGAAATCAGTAGTGGATACTCAATAGACTAGAGAAGGTTATATGCCAGGCACTGTCTGAGCGCTCTGCGCATTAACCAATTTAATTCTCACAACCCCCTATGAGGTTTTACAAATGAGGAAACTGAGGCACGGATTGGTGAAGTGACTTGCCTAATAACACAGAGCAAGTGGTAGGACAGGATTCAAACCCGGGCATTCTGGATCAGAGCCTGTCTCTTTACTAGCCTGTACTGCTCTTCCATGTGCGTGAAAGTAATCAATGTTTTACAGCAAAGCTTCCCTGAACTTCATTTACCAAAACAAGATTAATCTGCTCCCCCTGACTGAATGCTTTTCCCATCCCCTTGCCCTAGTTAACTCCTGTTCATCTTTCATATCTCAAATTAAATGTAATTTCCTCAGGAAAACCTCTCCTGAACCACCCTTCCGAGGGAAGACCCTAGCCACATGTTTTAATAGTACCATTTCTCTTTCTTTTAGGGCATTTGTCACAACTTCTAATTATCTATTTACTTATATGCTTGTTTGATTAAAGTCTTGCTCTCCACCCTCACCCCCACGAGGCCAAGAGCTGTGGCTATGGGCCAGTGCATCTCCAACACCAGCGCAGAGTAAGACGCAGAGTGGGAGCCCAGGGACCACTCATCAGATGAATTAATAACACCTAACCAGGCCAAGAACACTAGTCAAATTTGAAGATTCCTAGTTAGTTGGCAAATATTCAGAAATTCCTATCATATAATACAGATAGATAGATATTACACACACATATATAATAGTTCAGAATTTTATCATTCAGATATATAATTCAGTATATATATATATTAATCTCAGTCTCTAAAAATCTAACCAAAGCATTCAGATGCACCTTCAGCACCTTGATAGACTCCAATTGAATCCTCAACTTAGCCTGCTTCCTTTCCCGGATACTGACTTATCTCTTCACCAGCATGTTCTTGAGATAATTCTGCATAGTAAATTATCTCACATGTTGGCCAAATGTTTGGACCTGAGCTTATGGCTCTTTCACAATATAACTCTTGGCAAATACTTTCTATCACTCCTGGGGAGTTGTAAGTATCAGGACCCCCTTTTCCCCAGTGTAGGGGAATTGTTGTCCTTGGCACAATTATAACAGAAAAAAAGATCTTCAGAAAAGAGACTCATGACAATGAGACTACAACACAGGATGTGGAAATGACCCCCAAATATTACAATATTACAAGACAAAATAAGGGAGAGGCATTCTCTCTCTCAGTCAAAGCATTTGCCCCTAGTGAGGACAAGCAACCACTGAGCACACAGACAACCTCACTGCCCTCCCTCACTCAGACAGCTGCTCTACCTGCAAGGCTAAGTCCCCTCAATTTACACATCACTGTGTACCTCCAGGATTTTGGATGTTTTTAGGTATACGAGTCCACATAACCACTCTGAGGCATGAACCTCTTAAAATGCATCCTTGTTTTTCCTTCCAAGACCATTTAGTACAGACTGGTAGGTTACATGGCTTCTTATAATACAGTCTCAGTTACATCGGTCAACCTTGTACTTGAAGGGGACCTTGAGAGTCATTACTCTTGCTCTCTCCTTTAGAATGGGCTCTATCTAAACCATCCTACTTCATCTTTCCTGAGATCAGGGCTATGCAGAGGGTGTGGCAAGTATAGACAACAGCCTAGCTCTCTAGGGAGGTTTAACTTCCTGACTTCTTAAGGTTAAATATTGGCCTGTCTAGGACGGGGAGAAGAGAAACAGTGCAGGAAGAGTTCTGCCATGAGTCCAAGGACAGCTAGTCACAGCTCTACCCGAAGCCACAAGCAACTTAAAAGCTAAAGCCTTGAAGAAGGAGTAGGAACCATTTAAAGATACGTAGAGCAGGTGATAAACTAAGATGTGATGTGAGAAAACGTGTAAGAAGGAGGAAGCAACACAGTTGAGTTTGAGAGTCTTCTGCTGACTAAGGACAAATCTGATGTGAGTTCATTTTGAGATTTGAATGAAGATCGTAGTGTAAGGTGGTTGCTGAACTCAAGCTGTGTTAAACTGCCTGACTGCCCTGCTTCATTGTTTGTAACTAGAGCCGTGTGGCTGACAGAGTCTTTGTGCTCTGATCGGGTGTCAGGCCTGTGCCTCTGAGGTGGGAGAGCCAAGTTCAGGACACTGGTCCACCAGAGACCTCCCGGCTCCACGTAATATCAAACAGCGGAAGCTCTCTCAGAGATCTCCATCTCAACTCTAAGACCCAGCTCCACTCAATGACCAGCAAGCTATAGTGCTGGACATCCTATGCCAAACAAATAGCAACACAGGAACACAACCTCACCCATTATCAGAGAGGCTGCCTAAAATCATAATAAGGTCACAGACACCCCAAAAGACACCACCGGATGCAGTCTTGCCCACCAGAAAGACAAGATCCTGTGTCATCCAGCAGAACACAGGCACCAGTCCCCTCCACCAGGAGGCCTACACAACCCACTGAACCA